CAAGACACAGGCTGTTCTTGCCCCATAGTACGAAGATAGATGTTAATTTTTTTTCCTCCAATGTTAAGCTCATTCATGAGCTGCTCTGAACAAAATGAGGCTGAGCTCCCAGGGTCCAGAAAGGCATAAGTCTGAATTACTTTCTGACTTTTAACTGATTTTACTTGTACTGGAATAATTGAAAGCAAGCACTTTTCATTCCCGGCCCCTGTATGGCCACAAGTTTGGGTAGAGACTATGCTGCTCCTCTTTTCAGTGTCCTTTGCCTGTGGAATTCCAGCTGCCAATTTGCGATATATATGCAAAACTGTAGGATGCATTTGCTTGCAGACTTCACAGACAAGACGATTGTCACATTCTTTGCTTAAATGTCTAGATTTCAAACAGCTGAAACAAATTCCTTTTCCTTTCAAAAAGTCAATCTTTTCTCGTTGTGACTTCTTCTTTAAAACATGACACCTTTCCAAAACATGATTGCCTTGACATAACAAGCAAGTCTTGCTTTCATCAATCTTGCTCACAAAACGAGTTCCTTGCTGCAAGTTTTTAACTGGAACTGAGGCAACAACATTTGTAGCAAAACTGTTTCCCTTGAATACCTTACCAGCTTTGCTTGCAACTTGTTGTTTGTCTTGAATACATCCAAACACAGGATCAGAAACGATCTTTGCATGTCGTTCGATGAAATCAACAAGATGTGAGAAATTGGGTCTGGCTTGGATCAGATCCATTATCTCACAGGCCTTTTCTCGCCAACGTTCTCTCAACTTGAAAGGTAACTTCATTACAACAGTTCTCATATTACTTGGCATGTTGAGCTCTTGCATAAAAGAGATGTCATTAAGAAGGTTACAACATGAGCGCAAAAACAAGGAATACGCATATAACCCTTGTGCGTCCTCACCCTTTAACAAGGGCCAGCCTAAAGCTTTATCCATATATGCAGCAGCAACTTTAAAATCATTACCAAATTGCTCCTTCAGAAGATTCTTAGCCAATGGATAACCTATTTCAGGATCAAGATGTTGACAACTTCGAACCAGTTCTTTAGGTTGACCTGTGGTAAATTGCTCCAAAAAATACAAACAGTCCCTTTTATTGCGAGTTCTTTCCTCAACACCATGTTCAAATGCTCTCAAAAAGGATACATAATGAAGTGGATCACCATTGAAGAGTGGAATCTCTCTATTTGGAAGTGTGTGAGGTTGAGCTTGATGTACGAGATATGCAGTGAGCTCCTCCTGCTTTTTCAAAATCTCAAAAAGAGGTTCATCGTGAGATGGAAGAGGGTTTATAGCTTGTGTTGCCATACTGCCACTGGAATGTTGTACAAACTGACTTGAGTCCTGATGTTGATGAGTGCTGGTGCCATAAGTGTTCAATCCTCCTATGTGCTGCATTGTGGTTGATTGTGATGGGAAGTTAGAAGTAGCACAAACTGATTGTGATAGGAAGTTAGAGGTAGTGCCAGTTGGTTGTGATGGACTGCTGTTTTTAGCTCCAACTGTGGCCACTGATAGTTGACTTGTTGGTACATATTCAGTAGCTTGTGGATTTAATATTTTTCTTCTTGTTGAATCAAAAATTCCATTTCCAATCACATCCCTTGACGTTTGACTCTTTGTAACTTCCTTTCCTTTTGAATGAGAACTAACAGTACGTGAGCATTTGCTTTGGCTGCCAACAGTACTCAAAACAGCAAGTTTTGCAGTAGATGCTGCTATTTCAGCATCCAATTCAAGTTGTTCCTTCTGTTTTCTCAATTCCTCTTGCTTTGTTTCAATTGCATGTTTAGATTTCAATGCAGCGGCACGGGCCATAAGTGCAGCTCTCTCTGCCTCGGCCTGTACACGAGCTGATGCAGTAGAAGAATTACTACTGGAACTGTGCTTACTATAGTTAGTGGCACCCTTTGAAACATTTGAAACACTGTCCTCTGGGACGACCTCATCATTAATATTTGCATCAGTAACACCTTCAGTTATTTCCTGACATGTGTCAGATGTGGACAACCATAAATTGACATGTTCAATAAACTCATTTTTTGAAATCATTTTTGCCTTGTACCATATATCATGTTTCTCGATTTCATTATCAGGCAACAAAGTCAACAAAGATTCATGTGCTTCTTGAGCCTCCAAACATAACCCTTTGAATTTTTCAAATACACTTTGTACTTCATTCTCATATTCTCTGTTATTTTGCATCAACCTTTTAATAGTTTCTTTTATTTTGTCTGCTTTGTTCAACTTTGCTTTCCTAATTGCTTGCAATGATTGCAGTTTTTCCAATAAGGCCTTTGCGGTAAGTTTAACTGGCCTTTTTTGCCTTTCAGGCTCACTATCATCATAAAGCTCTTGTTTTGACCCAGCAGATTCTTCCTCATTTAAACACTGTTCCTCCATATTACCACAATTTCAGAACAACCATACAGTACAAAAAATTGTCCAACCCTTTGGCAACCAATGCATTGGATTTACGCTTGTTTTGTGTGCACACATAATAAATGGCCATTAAGTTCAGTTATTGTTGCAACAATGTACCTTTAAATCCTGTGTTGAATCACCATCCAATGCGAATCCAACAGGAACAACGAACGAAGTCCAACGCAACTAGAACAGGAACAGCAAACGAAGTCCAATGCAACTCTATCAGGAACAGCAAACGAGATCCACAGCAACCCCAACAGGAACTGCAATGAAGTCCAACGCCACTCCAACAGGATCAGCAAGCGAGATCCACAGCAACTCAAACAGGAACAGCAAACGAGATCCACATGGCTATCGGTCCCAAGTATAAATGTGTTCAAGAGCTGTCACTGACGTGAATTTATACTCACAGATCACTGGAAGCAGAGGTTTTTGACTTAATATAACAGCCTTCCATTGCTGTTATCGCCAGAAATGGGGGTGAGCACGTATTTCACGCGTGCAATCAGAGTCCATGCATGCTAAAGTTGTTTTTAAGAAGAATGTCTTTATTTGTGCAGGTGAATTAAACAAAGCCTCAATCTTTGCTTCTCCTTTCTTCTTTATCATGTCAATATAACATTCACTCCATGTATACACAGCACATATCTAAACACTGCTGTTTTCTGGCTAGCAAACAAATTACTCTGTGGCACGGTCAAAAACCGTGTGCTTTCCCATACCTGACGCTCTTCCTCGCTTACACAGGCACCTCAGTTATAGTTTTCAGTTAGTGACACCTAGTGGACAACATAAATCACTACAACACAAAAAATGGCTCCTACAAACATCTATGTTGATTCTGGAACAACATTTCAATCAGCTGAATGGAATGAATGGAAACGTTTACAGTTTACGTTAAGTTTAGGCTTATGGTTAGGTTTACACACATCTACATGTTTGTTATCTATATGAATAATTCACAGTTATGGTTGGGTTTAGGGGTGGAGAACAGGCATTTTCAAACAAAAAAAATTATGTTCTAGGACCAACATAAATGTTAATCCAGGATCGCATCGTACTTGGCAAAATCATGACATGCCAGGCTGAATTAGTGAAAATGGTAAAGTCATACACATGCTTATTGTGCTTTGTTTGGTTTGAAGATGAAAAACTGCAAGTGCAAAAGGTCTCATTCTAGCATAAACCACAGCGTTGGGTGTAGTTTTGTGATTATCCGAGCAGCAACTGCTGCTTTCTGTGTAAAACTCCATTGTCTTCTTAAGCGTTTATATGTAAATTGTCTGTTTATTTAGTAATTTTACATTGAAAGGTCAGAAAAAGTGCAAAATAATCAGAAGTGGACAGAAGAGACTGAAATTTGGAAATTCCTTAATTCGCAAAAATGTTTTATGCTTACTTGAGGTGGTTTTGGACTTGTGCAAAAAGAAAACGCATTTGCCGAATAAACTCTGACGTAGAGAACATTAGTGACTAATCAGCGGTCTTTATTATGCTTCCCTTGTTTACTGTTAGGGGGCTGCACGGTGGCGCAGTCGGTAGCACTTTCACCTCATAGCAAGAAGGTCGCTGGTTTGAGCCTCAGCTGGGTCAGTTGGCATTTCTGTGTGGAGTTTGCATGTTCTCCCCGAGTTTCCTCCGGGTGCTCTAGTTTCCCACACAAGTCCAAAGACATGCGGTACAGGTGAATTGGGTAGGCTAAATTTTCTGTAGTGTATGTGTGTGAATAAGTGTGTATGGATGTTTCCCAGTGATGGGTTGCAGCTGGTAGTGCATCCGCTGCGTAAAACATGTGCTGGTTAAGGTGGTGGTTCATTCTGCTGTGGCGACCCCAGAATAATAAAGGGACTAAGCTGAAAATGAAATAATGAATGAATGTTTACTGTTGGTTACTAGGTTACCAATACTACAGTCGGCTAATCTTAAAACTTCATGGAATGATTATTGCAAAGAGTGTGATTCTTAAACTGTGGAAATCAGATTCTATTCCTCAATTAAAGACATTGTTGACTTATGTCACTCAGATATTTCACATGGAAAGAGTCCGTTATTGAGTTATTGAAAATCCAACCATTTCTTTATCACCTAAACCAATATAATGCAGATTCTGGGCAGCAGTGTAATGCTTAACATGCTCACTACCCCTATTGACTGCCTTTGTATTTTCATTGAAACCGTTTATATGCCCAAATTGTGTTTTAATAATAACGTAATATTTTTATTTATCTATTTTTTATTATTATTATTACCATTATTTTCTTTGTATTAGCATGCTTATTTCTTGTATTATTATTTTTATGTTGTTTAATAATTATTGAAAAATGTAAAACTAGTAAAAACACTTGTTAAATGTTTTTTTTTTTTTTTAAACGTGCACTTATGCACATTTACATTTAGGATTTTTTATTTTATTAAATTTTTTTTGCAAACTTAGAAAAATCTGCTTCACATTAGGATGGAAATACAGCTAATATATTCAACTGTTTGTGAAACTGTTTCAAAATACAAAAGATAAACTTTTTGCTTTAGATTCACTTATCACAGATTAGAAAATACACGTTTGAGAAGGAACCATGTCCAAACCAAATACTTTAATAAAAGTGATCTTTGATATAATAGTTTCATCAAATGCTATCATGTTATTTTGAGTTTTACAAACAATACAGTACAAGCAAATAAAAAAATAAAAGAGAAAAAGTCAATGAAAACAAGAGCGGGCTGGTTTTCATTGCATGTCATTGTCTGCATATTAAGCATGTCATTTGTAAATGGTTTCCACCCATTGCGTGGCTCGCTCTGCTCACGTTAAATGGAGTGATACTTAAAAGCAATACGTATCCTGTGACCGCCTGCAGATATTTGGGCTATATCTCATCCATTGCTTCTAATTCATTTGAGAAGAGAGGAAGCTGGATTTTAGTAAAAACAGCAGCTGCAAGGAATTTCAGCAGAGATCAAATGTGCATTGTAAGTCTTGTTAGAGGCTTATATCAACAAGACATCCATCACATTCTGAATACACACACGAAGGGCGAAAACAAAAGGAAAAACTGAATCAATATTATCTCAGAGCAACAAACACAAGATGATGTGGTTATCTTTTTGCTTGTTCGGTTTTGGCCCTCTTCTTTCCTCCACCCCAGCCTCCACTGCGCCGCACTGGATTGTCCCGAAATGAGATGCGTTCGTTTCGGATTGGGGCTGAACTGACTCTAGTGGGTGATGGCACTTCAATTTCTGTGAAGACAGATAAGTTCAGAATTTAAAATACACATCTATTAATGTTAATACACCTTCAGTAGAGTGACATGTCGGGTGTTTCCTACAACACAGTTCTTTCAAACAGACAGAACAAGCTTTTTATGTAAATGATGCAGTCCACGTGTAAAACCCATGGCTGTGCTCTAGAAGAAGTTGGTCAAACAGAAGGCTACTGTGCACCACACTTAATTTGTAATATTTAAAAACTGAAAACTTTTCTGCTTATTGTTTTATTAATAAATTTTGCTACCTCGGTATTTTCAGATTCTATATAAATATTTAGATACATTTATATTTTGTAAGCTGTTTGGACAGGACTGTGTGTAGGTATAGTGTGTCCACAGTCATATTGGTGTAATATAAAGACAATAAGCCTCTTTTTTTTAATTCCTGTCAATAAAATAGGATCCAAATCCCTCCTATTTTGAGGCCGACCACAACGCAATGTAGGAGTGTGGTTTCCCCGCCCAACCAATTGATTGACAGCTGTGGATGAACATGTCTTTGTAGTAATGTGTATAATCATATAAACAAGGCAGGATGTGCGCAAAGCAACCGAGATTAAAAGATCTGTTAAGCTCTCTGTGATCATCAATCATCATCAAATTTGATCAAGGTTGAGTTTTACAAGTTAAAAAACGTTCTTAAAACAGGGCATGTTTGTAAGGAATTACAGCGTTTTTATTACCACAACGGCCTGTCAGTACAATTATAAAAGAAGACGCTTCAATCCCGGTTTGTGGATGTTAAATCAGGTTTATTTTGTACATTAACATAAGCTGTGGATATTACTGTATATCCTGTCACATTTGCCGTGCAAAAACAGTGCAAAGTTAAATGCTTGTGCTGTGTGTGTGTGTGTGCATGCTTGAACTTTGTAACGACATTGTGTGGGACTCATCATTGCACAAAGGCTTGAATTAACTCCCCAACAAACACATCAAATAATAATTTGTAAAGTTCTTCCTGTAGTATTTCTCACAAATGTTACATGATATCTGCTTCCTTCATGTCTGTCACTGTGCTCTTTATCTGAGGCAGCCGAGGCAGAGATTGAGGCACACTCTGATAGGCACGTGGGAACAGTGCGCGGGGAGAACTAGCATTAAAGGCACAAGCAACAAAAACAACTACATAGTGTTCAGAGAGGAAAATTCTACTAGTCTGAAAGTTTTAATAAATAATCTGATGGGTGTTTTGAGCTGAAACTTTACAGACACATTCTAGAGACACAAAAGACTTATCTTAAATCTTAAAAAAGGGGGGTAAAATAGCTGCCCTTTAATTTTTTTTTTTATTGTTTGTAGTAAAAATAAATGATAATGACAGAGGCCCAACATGTATTCTGCATGTACGAAATCAAAATCCTGTCAAATTTGTAATGCAGATTTTTGGAACTGGTCAAATGCAGATAAAACATTCTAAATTCTTTTATTTGTAAAAAAAAAAAAAAAAAAAAAAAAAAAAAAAAAAAAACTTTCTAATTGAAATGAAAACATTCTGTCTTGTAAAACCATAATTTAAGCAATGTTTTTTTTAAATACTAAAAAAAATTTTTATTTATATTAAAATAAATATTTCATATATTTGCTTTATTCCATAGTTTAGGGGGGGAAATCCTTCTTACATCTACTATATTTGTCATGTGTTATTAACAATTCAGACACAACCAATTGAATTGCCTATTTGACCTTTAAGGCTTAATCGTGTTGATCACATGATGTAAACAAGTCAGAATCTCAGTTTCGAACATAACTCAGTTAAAGTTAGACCTTATAAAAAGTTAGACCTTTTAAATATAGCACCTTAAAAATCATAGGTAAAGGCTTTACAAATGCAGTAACTTTGCAGCAAACACACATTTAAGTTTCTACAACATTTGTCTTCATTTGTTCCTTGCCTCTGTTGCTTGAAGTTTAAAAAAACACATGTCTGCCCTCAATGGATATTAATGGCACTTCAAACCCTACATGTTTATATTCAAACAGACACGACTTCTGTGTGCTGATATTTAATAAAACGGCCACACACTTACTTAACCGCTGTGACCAAACAAATTGTTTTCAGCCATTTTGCTCCCATTACCTTTTTTAAAAAGGGCAAAAAATGAGGCACCGGGAGATTTCCTCTACACACATAATGAAAACGTTTATGGCTCCCTAAACTGCTCTTTATGGCTCGGCCCCAGTAAGTAGAGGGTATCTTGTTGCATTAAAGCTAAGTAGTATTTATAGAGACCTTACTGTAATTGAACATAGTACTAAGCACTCATGACCGAATCGCTCACGCTGATCCAATTCAAATGACAAGAGGCTTATGACGGGGTTGGGAAAAATTTGTATTACTGTATGTTTGCTGATAGGAAATAAAACATTCCTTTTCCGAAAATGTGTATTGATATGAGTGAATTACAGAGGAATGGCATTTTGCATGCAAACCATGAAATTAATTATCTATAAAGGGATCTTACATAAGAGCTGTCTTTGATCTGCAGAATCGCCAGCTCCAATAAATCACCTATAAATACCTCCATGTGAAAGACATGATTCAGTCAGTCATTCAGACAGCCAGTCAGTCATTCAGACGGTCAGCATCCTCGTGGATTTCATTTTCAAATCATCATCAGAATCCAATTTAGCTTCGTTATGCCAGACAGTGAAAGCCTTGAGAGCTGGACGTGACTGTGTGAATGCGCTGAGCTCTGCTTGTGCTTTGTCAGTGCTTCAGTGTTTGAGACAGTGCTGTCAGAGGAATCTCACTGAATGAGAGATTATTCCTCACTTCGTCCCCTCACTGACCTGAACATCTGTCTATTGAGCTGACAATTTTAAATATCATTTAGTGTAACAATAGATCTTTTAACAAAAAAATCTAGTCAGGCATATTTAGATTAAGAATCATTTGATGACATATTAAACGATTCTATTTAAGGATCACAGTGAAATTTATTGTCAATTTAAATCCTATTACTTTGTCACTATCCTTCAACAACTATTTCAGCAAAGAAAGTTTTAAACATTTAAAACGTAAAAACATTTAGTATGATTAATTTTTTGATACATTTTAATGTTTCCTTTTTACATAAATAAATGCTGAATGGCAATAGAACATTATTTCATCCATATTTTAAGTTTACAGAAACATCTTAGTGGATCTTATTTAATATGATTTCATGTGCAGTTGAAATCTGAAATATTAGCCACCCTTTTTATTTTTTCCCTATTTTCTGTTAAACAGGAGCATTTTTTTCAACACATTTCTAAAAATAATAGTTTTAATAACTCATTTCTAATAACTGATTTATTTTATCTTTGCCATGAAATAATATTTTACTAGATATTTTCGAGACACTTCTTTACAGCTTAAAGTGACATTTAAAGGCTTAACTAGATTAATTAGGTTACCTAGGCAGGTTAGGGTAATTAGGCAAGTCATAGTATAACGATGGTTTGTTCTGTAGACAAATCGAAAAAATATAAAGCTTAAAGGAGCTAATAATATTGATCTTAAAATGTTTTTTTTTTATTTAAAACTGCTTTTATTCTAGCCAAAATGAAACAAATAAGACTTTCTCCAGAAGATTATCAGACCTACTGTAAAAATGTCCTTGCTCAATTAAACACTTGGGAAATATTTAAAAAAGAAAATAAATTTAAAGGGGGCTAATAATTCTGACTTCAAATGTATATAAAATTACATTTGTTAATGAATTTCTATGCATTTCCCTTATTTAGCAACTATAAATCAAAAATATAAACAAAAAATAAAAATTTATACAAAAATATTTATATAAATGAGTACACTCTAGTTTAAAAACAAATATAGGTAATATATTTTGATGCAGTTGAACAAAACAGATATATTAAATGGATATACTTATTAAAATACTACTTTAGTCACTGAACATTTTTAGAAACAGAAAGATAATGCATTTAAACTCATGCAAAATATTGCAAAAAAAAATTCCAAATTTACAACAATATTTTAGATATTTTTTGTTTCTTCTGATTTATGTAATATTTCGCTAACATATAGATTTGGGCTACTAGCTTTTGGACCATTAACGTAAGTTATTTTGTTAGATTAGCTCAAGATTTGACTTCAGTACTGACTAATCTGATGTATTTTCACAATTCTAATAGTTTAAAGCATCCTATAGACGTCGACACAGTGCTTCAGTGGTTAACACCATCACCTTACAGCAAGAAGGTCGCTGGTTTGAGTACTGGCTGGATCAGTTGATCTGTGGTGAGTATGCATGTTCTCTCTGTGTTCGCATGGATTTACTCCGGGTGCTCCGTTTTCCTCCAAAGACGTGCTATAAGTTAATTGAATAAACTAAATTGGCCGTAGTGTATGTGTGTGAATGAGTGTGCATGGATGTTTCCCAGTACTGAGTTGCAGCTGTAAAGGCATCTGCTGTGTAAAACATATGCTAGAAAAGTTGGCGCCCCCTGATGAATAAAAGTATTAAGCTAAAAAAAAAAAATGTATGACCCTATAGACAATCTACATTTAAATGAGAGGTTTGTGAGGGGTGTACTCATTTATGCTGAACACTGTATAAGTGAAATACTAAATCATATATTCTATTGCTAAACTTAACTTAAAACCGTTAATAATGTCAGACAAAGTGGAATCTCAGAAAATGAGCTTCATCTGAAAGGTAGATTTATTTGATGACTTATATACTGATAAATGAATATGCACATTGCCATCTTAGCCTAAGTATTTAGTTAGCAGTAAGTAGCAAGTATTTCATAATAATTTTTAGTCCATACTTCCCTCATCTTATAAATACATAATAACATGTCACAGATCACAAATGTTCAGACATAATCGAATATCAGACAAAATCAAAAATTGTTTATCTATTCATCAAAAGTTCTAGGATCAGAGTTTGTCCTACCTGCATAACTGCAAAAAACAGTAGCACAATAATTATTTTAAACATGTTTCACTAATCTATATGCAAATACGATCATGCACACTTTTTAAACAAAATGTCAAATTTTCCCAAAATGTGAATAAAGTGTTTTTCAATCAAGCTTTATAGAGCAGCCAACTCTAGTATTGGTAACCGACAGTAAAAAAGGCAAGCATAATAGAGACAGCTGTTTAGTCACATAGTGTAATGTTCGCTACATCAGAGTTTATTCGGCAAATCCATTTCCTTTTTTTAGAGTATAGTGATGTGAAATGTCTTTCAGAAGAGTGTGATGGTGTAATGGGTGATGAAGTGAGTCAGATGATGTATGTGTGTGTGTGTTCATCAGTGTCCATCATGTGCTTGATTCCTTACCCTCTGCTCTCGGTGTGCAGTATTTGATTTGGCACCTGATCCACATGATTTAACCTCACATCCCTGTGTGAAGTGCAGAGTTTAAACATTCTTCCCTAATTATTCCCATCCCTAAACAGCTAAAAATTATTACCGAGATAAATCATAGAGAGACAATGCTCTGAGGATCTCCAGAAAGCTGGAGAAGAAAAGTAGTGATGGTAAAAATGTTTTATATTTAAGTATTTAATAGTATATACGCTCAACGGCCACTTTATTAGGTAAACCTTACTAGTATTGGGTTGGACACCCTTTTGCCTTCAACAAGGTACTGGAAATATTCCTCAGAGATGTTGGTCCATACTGACATGATAGCATTGCACATTTACAGCAGATTTGTCGGCTGCACATCCATGATGCGAATCTCCTGTTCCACCACATCCCAGGGGTGCTCTATTGGATTGAGATATGGTGACTGGGAAGGCCCTTTGAGTATAGTGAACTCATTGTCATGTTCAAGAAACCAGTCTGAGATTATTCATGCTTTATGACATGACGTATTATCCTGTTGGAAGTAGCCATCAGAAGTTGGGTGAACACTGTGTTCATAAAGGGATGGATATGGTCAGCAACAATACTCTGTATTTTGGTGTTGACATGATGCTTAATTGGTACTAATGTGCCCAAAGTGTGCCAAGAAAATATCCCCCACACCATTACACTACCATCACCAGCCTGAAACATTGATACAAGGCAGGATGGATCCATGCTTTTATGTTGTTGATGCCAAATTCTGACTCTACCATCTGAATGTCACATCAGAAAGAGACTCATCACACCAGGCAACATTTTCCAATCTTCTATTGTCCAATTTTGGTGAGCTTGTGCAAATTGTATGGTTATTTTCACTGGATATTTTCTCTTTTTTGGACCATTCTTTTCAAACCCTAGATAAGGTTGTGCGTGAAAATACCAAAAGATCAGCAGTTTCTGAAATATTCATAACAGCTCATTTGGCATCAACAACCATGCCACATTCAAAGTCACTTAAATCATCTTTCTTCCCCATTCTGATGCTCGGTTTGAATTGCAGCAGATCATCTTGACCATTTCTACATGCCTAAATGTACTGAGTTGCTGCCATATAATTAGCTGTTTAGAGATTTGCGTTAATAAGCAGTTGTACTTAATAAAGTGGTCGATGAGTGTAAATGAACTAGAGAGGAATTTCTCTACTTTCCTAAAACTTCTTTGTTGTTTTTTTGGCCACAGATGGTTTTAATGTTAATGCGACATTTGCATACTTCATAAACTTCATAATTTTATCAGCAAATCAATATTTGAAATGCAAACTGCCCGGTTAAACAGTAATTACATTATAGTCCAATATAATCAGACCTGGCAAGAACAGAAATTTACATGAAAAGTTCATGCAGAGAACAGCGTTTTAATTTTCCATGAAATATTATAAAATAAGCAGCAGAACATTTTCAACATTGATATTATTTCAAAAGTTGTCTTCGTTTAGCAATGGTTCTGAATAATCAGTTGACATTGAAAGTTGGAGTTGTAAAAAAAGCATTTTGTGTCTGTCCATACATTTAAGTCAACTCTGTTACTTCGGCTATAAAAAAAAGAGTATAACAGTCTTTAAATCACGATAAAAAAAGCGTGTGACTTGCTCCAAATGATGACATTTCCTCTGGTAGGAAACTCTGGAAAGCATTGAGGCATGTCATTTATTTTTCTCTCAATAATTTTTACAAAATGTTTAGAAGACACTAATATTATATACTTCATTATTTTTAACTTTGTTATTCTAATATATCAATAAATTTCACATTCAACTTTTACAAAACTACAATGATTTGATGAAAAATGCACAAAATGGTGCAAAATGGCAAGTCTGGTTGCGTTTCAAAAAGTTTAATGACAATCTAAACAACAATTAGGAACAGATTAAAACGTTTCTTATCACATTCAGGCAGTGGCAGTATTTTACATCAATAAGGAATTTAGTTTATTGTAAATTTTACATTTGTTGTAAATGTCAGACCAGTTTAGGGAAAACTAATGGAAAACGCTTCAAATGTACCTGAAATTTTGGAATAAGTCATGTGTGTGGGTGTAAATTTATTTTAGAATTTCTTATTACTATTTATTTTTACTTCATTAATTAAATGTATCTTTATTTAAATAGTAAACATCAAACATTGTATTGTATAAATCACTTTAGTAAAAAAGACTCACTTTTGTTTTCAGCTGAGAATCTCCGAGCCCGAGAATGTGTTTTAGCAGTTGGAGAGACACCAGTGGGCTCTGTCAAAAACCTCGAGACTGAATCTACACTATCTCTGTCCCCAGTGGCCTATAAGAGAGAGAAAAAAAAAGGTACATAAAAAGTATACAGTCTAAAAAAAAACAATGCGTAAAATTACAGAGAAATGACTGGCCGCTGATCATCGTTTTTGTTGCATAAGTCACTTGACTAACATATAATGATCAATATATAATGAAATTCTCAACATCAAAAGTAAATCATAGATCAAGTCCCACAATGCAAATCATAAACGGCCGTAAATCAAGAGCCACAGACAGCAGTTGTTCATTTTTACAGTATGTACACCTTAAATTTAACACAGGTAATAAACACAGTATCTAACATACAACACATACTATCCTGTTAGTGTATAGGTTGAAATAAAAATCCAAATAAAAGTCTCTCACCACAAGCTGCACCCTCCCACCATTAAGAATATCAGGGCCAATGTCAGGGAGGAAATGACCCCTATAAAAGACATTAATTAGATCAGCTGTACCACAGTTTACACAACATCATATTCACAACATGTGAGATGGTTTTAAATTTACAAGTCACCACTACTGTATAATTCATCATTATGAACTGCAACTGCATAACCTACTGTCCATCTGTGTGTTTCTGTAGTTCAGATTGTGTCTCACCGTCCCGTATCTGAGGAGTCCAGCCACTGATAACCTTTCTCCCTGTAAGTTTGTTTTTCATCTGCTTTTGGTGATTTGTGAACTTCATTTGCTCTTTGGTGACCTGCATTTGATCGAAAACAAGAACAAGAGCATCCAAAAGATTTATTTTCTGGTACATCAATATAATATTTACATAAACATAATGTAGAGAGGTGTTTTTGTGCCAGACAGTTCCTGGTAAGTGATGGAAAAAAGACAAAAGGAAAACTGTTAGGAGGATAAAGAAAGCTTGTTTCGCAAACTTCTAGGGTGTATATTTACATCTACAGAGCAATAAATAAACTAAGTGAGTTCATAGGAAATAGAGAAATTTATGCACTGTGTCAATACATGCCACCAAAAATCCCTAATTTAAAATAAACACACATTGACACTCACAAGAATTGATAATGACTTCTGACAGCCAAGTGCTGGAACTAATGAGACATTTATTTTAGTCATTTTCATGCTTTAGCCAAAAAGTAAAGGGCAGACAAGAATTATGGGTTACAGTTGTCATGGGTTAATTGAAAATCCACTAAAAATGTCAAGTGATTAACATCCCCAGGGGCCGTATGAGAAAACAGGACAAAAGACAATCCATGTATATTGGTGACAAAAAGTTCTGAAATTAAATGTTTACCAAGCACTATAGATTTCATATTACATTTTTCATACAAAATAGATTACTTAATGCAGTGGAATTCAAACTTTTTTCACCAAGTACCACCTTGGGAAAAAAAAAAATTCTCTCCAAGTGCAACCATTATGACCAGTATTGAAATACAGTGTAACTACTGACTCAAAACGTCAACATTTAAATTAAAATGTTCTTTTAAAAGTTAAAAATGATAGGCTACTGTTCTTATAAAGTAAAAAAAAAAAAACTCCTGTACTCCTGTAAAGTATTAATATAGTAGCCTATTTATCAACACCTGGAAACATAGACTATATGTCATCATATTCATATATAAATCATTTTTTAAATAAATTTTTGAATATATGTAGCATTTACATATGACATATTTGATTCCTCCGCGTACAACTAGTGGTACACATACCATAGTTTGAGAACCACTGACTTAATGCATTAAACAAATAAATGTATAATAAACTAATATTAAGATCCCCAAAAACCTTGAATGCAAGCAAATGGGTTCAGTAACAAAATATCAAACCCAAGCCTCTACTTATATCAGAATACATATTTGTATTTATTAGTTTGAAAGATTTATTTTTATCCTTCCTGTTGCTTTTGTTATTTATTGAAAAATTATTAAATATAATACAGTATTAAGCATTATACATTCAATTTGATTCCATTTCTGCAATAATAAAAATAATACTTGAGTACTTCCAAAAAAAGAGATGAACACTGTAATGTTCAATACAATGTCCAAAATGTATTTGCTGAAAAGTTACAAAAAAAACTAGTCTGGCAGTACATGCAGACAACTTGAGAAGTCATGATAGTAATAAGAGTTTTCAATATGATAGAAACGCATAGATGCAGCACTAGAAGCCTTATCCCCCCGTCTGTCCCACCCCGAGGACATTAGAGGACCAGGAGTCACGGCTGTTAAAGCCCTCTTAAATACATTAGGCCTTGTGCTGCCGCTGGACTCAGAGAATCAGCCCTTTCACAGGTCAGGATTGCAGAGGGTCAGAGGGATTGCCTTAAGGACACAGGTATTTGCAGAAATCTTGCTCTTTCATACTAAAACTGAGCCAACACAAGGTCAATCCTGACAAAATCAAGATAGCAACTACTCTGGTTAACCCACAAGGACAATAAACACAAAGAGCTAAAAAAAATGCATTTTGTTATAATTGTATATATATATATATATATATATATATATATATATATATATATATATACAGTCAAGCCCAAAATTATTCATTCCACTGGCAAATTCTGACTTAAAGTTTTTGTTCAAATGTAAATAAAAGCCAAGAAATATATATTTGCTGTATATATATTATAGTAATCTGCTGCTTGGCTTTGGCTTTTTTGGGGTTAATTGTTGTAAATACCTGGTTGCAACAGAGAAATACTTTGTAGACATTACAATCTATGTAGACATTACAATACTTGACATTATGCAAAAAAAAATCATTTAAATACTGGTTCAAAAGTGAAGTTTTTGAATTGGAAATGCTGCTGATGTAAATGAAGGGCGAAAAAAGTTGCTCATACAAAAGTGTTTTTGAGACTTTCTGTGTTTGAATTTCTTTTTATATACACGATTTTGCTGTCAAACTGTTCTACAAATGCAGGATCACACTCGTATTACTGCGATATGCCTGTATATCGGCACTGGTGGGGGCCACTAAGGCACTCTGCCTGTGGCCTTGAGCCAACCCATGCCTCCCAGCAGTGCTGATATACAGCCATATCGCAGTGCTACAAGTGTGATATTGCTCATATATGGGTCAAAGACAAGACATCCTATTTTGATTTCACAATAAAACATAGAATTGAGTTACTTTTTTTTGAGTTTTTTTTCTGGATTGCTTTTTAAAACACTGCAGTTGAGTTTAGAGAAGTGGGTGGGCGGGTCAATCGGTGCTTTTTAAAACACTATTGGTTGGGTTTAGGTAAGGAGGAGTAACTCTGTCAGTCGACAGCAGCCTCTGGTGGATTTACGTGTGAAGAGCAGGCACGAAAGGCACTTGCAAGAGAAATTTGAGATCTAAAAAAGCGTACACAGTGGCCTCTGGTGGATTCACAAAAACTGCAAAAAAAAAAAAAAAACGTAGCTCCTTGGATGTATTTGGAGCTCTCCAGAAATGTATATAGGGGTACGAAATCAGAATGAGCCTGGGTTGACAGTTCTTTTTGAGATATGAAGTTATGTTCGACTAAATGACATTCCATTTATTATGGCAAATAATATTTTCTTTTTAAAAATTACAATGAATTAAAAAACAATAAATGCACTCATTAACCCACTTTTTGTTTTCGAACCACATACAGTATAAATAGAGAGGGAACATTCATAATCTAAAGCCTATATGTCCTATCATCTTATCCATCGAAATTGCTTCCGCAGATCTTCAGGTTATTTTTGGGTCTGACTAACTAAACTGGAATCTGGTGTCCAAAATGCCTAAATTGTTTCACTGGAGTGAAGTCACTTCATGCACACACGCACAGGCTGTGCACAAAGCACGGTGCATGTGGGGGATTCTCTGTGTGTGTGTGTGTGTGTGTGTGTGTGTGTGTGTGTGTGTGTGTGTGCTACAGAGACATACCCATGGGGCTCTGATTGTTTGGGAGTTCTTCTAGCAGACTCAAAGAAGGAGGTCAGGTCTTTTATCGTGAGGTTCTGTCTCCCACTTTCCTTTACCCTGGGTCAAACCTTCACCTCCAGAGTGCAGAGCACAGGCGGTCAACCAGCGGTCAACACACACACACACAAACACATGCCACTAAAAGCTCAGCACACAACCCTGAAGCCTGTCAATCACATCAATCTGAAGGAATCAGACACAATTACGAAATATAATGAATCTCAGAGTGAAACGATAAGACTATAAATCATTGGTTGAACTAAAAGAATAGAAAAAATGTATATGATGAACATAAAATGAACAATTATTTTATGTACTAAAATAAAAATACACTAAACTAAAATGTTAGAAATTACATAAAAACTGAAATTGTGTCAGCGCCAATAGCCTAGTGGTTAAGTGCACCGACATATAGCACGATGGTGCTCACGGCTGTCGATGTCCTTTGCCGACCCTTCCTCTCTCTGCTCTCAACTATTTCCTGTCAATTCTCTGCACTATTCTATCCATTAAAGGTTAAAACCCTCTGAAAATAATTATATATATAAAGAAAAAAACTGAAATTGTAAAAATAAAAAACTTTTGGGCCCATGTATTAAATATTATTGAGATGTTTAACAATTGAACCAACAATAAAAATAACATCTAAACTTTTTCTACTTTATTATTTTATCTTTGCTTACATTATACTTAGTATATACTTAGTTATACTTGAAACTTAGCTCAATTCATATTAATTTTGGCCTTTATGAATATTACTAAATCAAAAGTTTTATCTGGTATCATTATTGGTCAGACTTTACAATTAGTTAATATTAGTTAACATATTTACTAACTTTCCCAGAGATGGGTTGCGGCTGGAGGGGCATCCGCTGCGTAAAAAAAAAAAAAACACTTGCTGGATAAGTTGGTGGTTCATTCCGCTGTGGCGACCCCGGATTAATAAAGGGACTAAGCCGACATGAAAACGAATGAATGAATATTTACTAACGTGCAATAATTAATGCATAATTCAAAATTTGTATTGTTTGGTACAATATCCCTTACATAACAACCAACTAGATGTACATTATACCTCTTGCCACAAAACATAATAATTATAAAAAAAAGGCTAAAAATTTGCTGAAAACAGCAAAGACCAACCAACTTATTGAGTCCAATATGGGGCATAACAGTTGAGAACACCATTGTAAAAGATAAGCTTTAAAAAAATGGTAAATAATTGTATTCAGGGATGATCGAGATGATTGAAGAATGGCCTATCAGAATCAAGTATTCCAGACAGCTGTGTAATAATAACTGTTATAACACAGCTGTCTGCAACATTTTAAGATATGTTACACTGAGACATGCTGAAACTAATAACACAGGCTCATCCTCATACTTTGAATCATCTCTGTCAGTGAATATACATGCATTATTCTGCGATAGCAACCGGCTGAATGTACTTTATGACTTACTTAATGTACTGTGAGTTAACAAGAACTAATGATGAACAACTTTATTTTCGTTAACTAATATTAACAAAAATTAATAAATACTGTAATACATGCATTGTTTATTGTTTGTTTATATTAACAAATCTCTTAAGATGATCTAATGGGACCTTATTGTAAAGTGTTGGCATATTATTTAATAATTCTGAGCAAACATGAACTAACAATATAAATTTGGCAGTTAACAAAGCTAATAATCACTCCAACAAACTGTTTACTAATGGTACTGTACCTTGAAAATAGATTCAGTCATGATAAGATATAGATCTCAAAGCCTAAGCAAGACATTATATGTCAGTTAAAGTCCTTCAACTGATCTGAAGTATTATTTTCCACAACCTCTGACTCTCTTGTGTGATTTCTTCGCAAAGGAATCCACTCAAACCCAAAGCATCATCTACTAGAGCGGTGATACAGTGCCAAGCCCAGCAGATACAGGAGACTGGAAATACAGGACACATGGTGCAAATCAAACCCAGGAGAGCGGCGAAAACACACAGGTTAACCCGAAGCAACTATATGCTCCGTTCCACCAAAAAACGTGTCAGAGTAATGCATCTCTGAGGATTAAAAACTTAAAAGCCCACATGAGCAGGGCATCGTGGGAGCGTGTCCTGGCTTTGGGCTTGGGTTCGGCTACCTGCTTTTCCCCTCTGCTGACCCGCGGAAGGCCCTGCGCCTCAGGCTACAGGCCGGCCGCCGCTCCCCTGCTTTCCCCCAGCAGGGGCTTACATTTCAACCGAGCGCTCCAAGCCCTCTTCTGGAGGTGATTAGCCCCCCGAAGCCGTGACAGATTCTTTCCGAGATATCCGCCTCACTCGTGTTTATTTTATCCCAGCTCTCTTTTGTGGATGTGCTGGACATGAAGTAACCCACTTGAAAATGGGTATCGGCTTACATACGCCACGGGACTGGCGGAGGAGTCGGAACAACAACAAAAAAGAAAAGAAAGAAAGCAACCATTATACATATAAAGAGGACGTCTTTGCATTTATTTGACCTGCTCTTTAGCATGACTCTCTATCTCTTATCTCTTACGCTTGACCCCCATTGGTAGCATCGGTTTGGACAACCCCTGCCCCCATTGGGTGGCACTGTGGCTATAGACGGCGCTCTCTCTCAGTCTGGGACCCCTAAGTGCCCGACCTCCTCTGTACTTAACTCAATTTCACACTTCAGGTCCGCTACAAAGCCTCCTGAAATACAATCATCTTGTTTATTCTCCACCATCCCAAACAACCTAATGGCTGGCTATTTACGAGCTCCATCATGTGCGTTCAATTTGATCAGACGATGTGTATGTTTTCATGTATTACACGCAATGTAGATCCAAGCATGTCCCAAATGACTGTATGGATTGAGCCCATGGGGAGTAATGAAAGTGGAGTAGTTTCTAAATGGGGAAATTATGCAAGTTCCATATTTTGGTAAATGACAACAATTGATTCATGAAATAAATCATTTGATTAATTGATATAGTAGATCAGTTTTTTTCTATAGAGATAAACGTAGTAATTTGGTGAAGCAGTTGATTAGTACTTAAGTTAAATCAGTTTATTTTAGTGTTGGGCAAAGACATAATATATGACATAATATATGTGTGTGTGTGTTATTTTTATTATGTGTATGTGATATACACACATAGAAACAAAACTATACAAAACAATTGAGTTACATAGATATTCAAATGTATATATAATTTGAATCATACACATATATTTATTATATCTACAAATAAATTATACTTGTCTCAAATATATGCATGCATGTGTGTATTTATACAGTATATACATGATAAATATACACATTACACATACATATATTGTGTCAAAACAAACTTTAATTTTAGATGCGATTAATCATGATTAATTGTTGCCCAGCACTATTTTATGTAGAGATTGTTTTTTATTGTAATGGCAAAATAATTAATAATAGTAGTCAACATACAATATCAATATTTATTATTCTACAATTGGTTGATTTATTAAATATTAATCACAAAGTATAATAACAGTATTTTATGATGCACATCAAATGTTTATTACTGTAGTATTGAAATTAATTCTGGTGAATTATCAAATGAAATTGATATGGTACATCATTTTATTTTATAGAGAAAAAAATTATTAATATGGTTAATATGGTTCATCAGTTTGTTATGAAGTGATCTGGTTGAGTAATAAGGTGAATCAACTAATTCAACTGGTGCATCAGTTTGATCAGTTTTTTTTTTTTTTTCATATGCTAAATCAAATGTAAAGTGACAGTAAATCATAAAGAAACTGATAAGGGGCTCTTGTTTATTTAGGAAGAGAAAAAAATATTCATAAACTGAACAGTATCGTGAATTGACCGTAGCTGAATCCAAGTATTATATGGTGTATCAATTTGTTTTTACAGACAAAATGTATCTATATAATGCATCAGTTCATTTAAATGATGCATCAGTTTGATTGCATTGAGAAAAATGCAAAACATGGTGAATCAAAGTGATTCAGTTGATTTATAGTGTAAATTAGTTTGCCTGTATAAGTAAAGAATTTTTTTTTTTTAATTCTAAATTTAATCAATTGGTTCAAGTTGAGTTCACATAGTAAATCACTTGTGCCCTGGGCGTAAGGTTTAAGAAAAAAAAAAAGTTTTCAAAACTGTACACTTCTACGCATCCTGATAACATATTAATCAATTAAAGCTCTGCAAGAGTCAACATATTGTATCAACCCCGGCTCATTCTGATTACGTGCTCCTATATACATTTCTAGAGAGAGCAAAATATGTCCCAGGAGCTGTTTATTTGCAGTTTTTTGTTAACGCGAATGCACCAGAGGCCACTGTGTACTCTTTTTCAGATCTCAATTTTCTCTTACAGGTGCTTTTGCACTGTTATCATGTAAATCCACCAGAGGCCGCTGTAGAATTATTGAATGACCAACCAACTGATAACCCACCCTCCCCCTTACCTAAACCCAACCAATAGTATTTTCAAAAGTACCTATTGACCAGCCCACCCCCTTCCCCTAACCCAACCGCAATGTTTTAAAAAGCAATTTAAAAAAAAGAAAAGCCCCCTGATTTTTACCATGTTTCAGATTTTATCATATTCTCACCCTGTTATTTACTTGTTTATTTAATTTTTTGGCTTTTGTTTTTGTCTTACCCGCTTTCTGTAACAGTTCTTCACTGGACTCAAACTCTGCTGTCGTAGTCAACTCCACTCTGCATCTTAAGTTTGCAGATGTACATGTCGATCTACCAGACAAACTAGTAACAGCGGAAAAGCCGTCCATGCGGAGGTAAGAAGTCAGCTGGTAAGTGCGAAAAGGAATGGCATCATACCGCCCCGTAGCATTTGTTTTCGAGATAAAATGCAGCTATATGTAGCTCTGGCTACATAATATGCGATCTCCAGAAATGTATATAGGGCCACGTTTTCAGAATGAGCTTATGTTGCAACAGGTTGTGTACATATGTCATACCAATATCACTGTGTGTTTTTGTTGAAATTTACAGTGTTAAACTAATCACTCTACCTATGCTACAAAATCTTGTTTAACAAAGTGAAAAAGTATCCAAATTATCCAACACATCAGTATCTACTAACTATATAGTTAAAATTTGTGTATTTAATGAGGTGATTCATACTGAGATTCAAATGCAAAATAAATAGTTTCATAGCTAAATAAACTGAATTGTATAGTGAATCAACTGAATCTTACACTACATTAAATAATTCTTTTTAATATTAGTTTATCTGTATAACAATTCAATTGATTTTCTGGGTACATTCAGTCCTACCTTTATAGTTGTCCTTAAAAGTAGGACGTGTTTGTCTTTGAGCTTCTGCTGAAACACACTGCTTACTGTGGCTCCTGAACAGGGCCAAACGTTGATTTGGGTCTAGAACACATAACACAGACAGGAACTCAGCCACAAATGAGCTCATACGAACACAGGATTCATAAAGCAGACAAGCGCAAACAGAAAACTGACAGAAACCAAAACTTCACTTTCCATTACGAGACCAAAGGGCCCATGGAGCAGTGGCTCTAAGAGCTCGACACAGGCCCTCATTTCATGGGGCCATGATTGGATTTGTGGCATTAGAGTCACGCACTCCTGACCTTGATCAAAGCCGCCTTCAGGCCAACCCTGGAGCATCCAGACCAGGACCAGAACTACTGTGTCTGGGATTCTTGTTAGACTCACGGCTCATTGAACGTAAGAGCACTGATGTTCCCAGTAATGAAGCTGGTTGGAACACAAAGCGTGATGGAATATATGTAAGAATGTTTGCAGACGGGTCAATCGAACATGACAAGGCATGGCGTAGGGTGGAGCTGCTTGCTGTTATGGCAGATTAAGCTTTGCATGGAATCACAAGCTCCATGCGAGTGTGGCACAACTGCACGCTGAAGACATAGAGAGGAAACATAAAAAGAGCTTGAAGCCTGGTGTTACTTTTAAGGAAATGGATGAATAGTTCAACCAAATATGCACTGTATAGTACAAAGACTTTGTGGATACAGAGAAGGACACAGAGTTTTTTTTAAATAAGTTGTGTGTCAGTACAGATTTACAGCCAATTGGAAGTCATTTGAATTGTACTATATACTTTATAAAGAATCAAATGCAATGCAGGAATGTACAGGACTTGCACTAGCCTTCATGTGCTAATGCTACAGTACATCCGAAAAGTAATCATAGCACTTCACTTTTTTCCACATTTTTTTTTGTTACTCCCTAATTCCAAAATGGTTTCAATTCATTTATTTTCTCAAAATTCTACACACAATACCCCATAATGAGAATGTAAAAATATATATATTTTTAAATTGTTCAACTTTACTAACAGTAAAAAAACAGAAAAATCACATGTACGTTAGTATTCACAGCCTTTGCAGTGAAGCTCTATATTGAGCTCAGGTACATTCTGTTTCCACAGATCATTCTTAAGATGTTTTAGAAACTTAATTGGAGCTCACCTGTGGTAAATTCAGTTGATTGGACATAATTTGAAAAAGCATACACCTGTCTATATAAGGTCCCAGGGTTGACAGTGCATATCAAAGCACAAACCAAGCATGAAGACAAAGGAATTGTCTTTAGACCTCTGAGACAGAATTGTCTAGAGCCACAAGGCTGGGGAAGGTTACAGAAAAATTTCTGCTGTTCTGAAAGTTCCAATGAGCACAATGGTCTCCATCATCAGCAAGTGGAAGATGTTTGGAACCACCATCACTCTGTCTGAGTTCCAACGTTCTTCTGCGGAGAGAGGAGAACCTTACAGAAGGACAACCATCTGTGCAGCAATTCACAAATCAGGCCTGTATGGTAGAGTTGCCAGATGGAAGCCACTCCTTAGTAAAGGGCACATAGCAGCCCACCTGGAATTTGCCAAAAGGCATCTGAAGGACTCTCAAGATCATAAGAAACAAAATTCTCTGGTCTGATGAGACTTAAATTGAACACTTTGGAGTGAATGCCAGGCGTTAGGTTTGAAGAAAAGCAGGCACCGCTCATAACCAAGCAAATACCATCCCTACAGTGAAGCATGGTGATGGTAACATCATGCTGTGGGTGTACAGCAATGCAGCAATGTACAGAGACATCCTGCATGAAAACCTGCTTTTGAGGTTTTTGTGCTCTTGACCTCAGACTGGGGCAACGGTTCATCTTCCAGCAGGACAATGACCCAAAGCACACCGCCAAAAAATCAATAGAGTAATAATGGCTTCATAACAACTCTGTGAATGTCCTTGAGTGGCCCAGCCAGAGCCCGGACCTAAAACCTAGTGAACAACTCTGAAGAGATCTGAAAATGGCTGTACACCTTCGCTTCCCATCCAACCTGTTAGAGCTTAAGAGGTACTGCAAAGAGGAATGAGCAAAAATTCCCCAAAACAGGTGTGCCAAGCTTGTGGCATCACATTCAAAAAGACTTGAGGCTGTAATAGCTGCCAAAGGTGCATCATCAAAGTATTAAGCAAAGGCTGTGAATACTTATGAACAAGTGATTTTTAAGGTTTTTTTATTTGTAATAAATTTGTATTACAGAATTTGTATAACAATTTAAAAAAATATTTTTTTACAATGACATTATGGGGAATTTTGAGGAAATAAATGAATTTTATCCACTTCATAATAAGGCTGTAGTATAAAAAAATGTGGGGAAAAGTGAAGCTCTATGAATATGAATGCTTTCTGGATGCACTGTATTTGGAATTAGGGTTTTCAAATGGTTTGACTCCAATGTTCAAATGTTGCATGGCTTTTTCAGTTTTAAAGGATATGGATGTATTAACCATTTCAAACAAATAAATATGGCTTATCTTAACCTAAAATGAAATTTAGTATCTAGCATGTAGTCTTACTTTTTTAGAAATTAGGCTAGCTCATATGTTCTGTTTTTAAAGACAATGGGCCATATGCACATGGACATTTAATTTTAGTCAGCCAGCCCCAGGGCTTTCGGTTAATCTTCATCCCATCCAAAAATCGCTGCGTTTAAGATGTGATTTCTTTAAAAAAAAACAGTGACCTTCACTGCCTGATTGACATACAATATAAAGTGGGTATAAGACTAAACAAGAAGCACTGCATTAAACTATATTTTTCTAAACCATATCTTTAAAATATGAAAATTAATTTTACCCCAGTATTTTTATGGAGTTTTTGTGCTAGCCTGCTGCTAATGACAATACCTGCATTTAAACGGTCTTTCATCCTTTTTTATGCTTTAACAACCAAATGGATGCTTAAGTCTATTTAACTGATTATATTTTAATTACATTACAACATCAATGCTGTAAAAGGAACCTTATGAAGTTGAAAAAAGCCACATAAACCTTTCACCTAAAGTTCATCATTGGCAGAAAAACACTAGCTGTGCATATAGCCCATTGAAACCCTGGTTCTTTTTCTTGAAATTTGGAACATTACTTTTTATGAGTTTTTTTAATTACACTAAGAATATGCATCCATTGGACTAAAAGTAACAGTTGAGGCATTTTTGCGTTACAAAAACAAGAGCACTGTTTTGTTTTTTCTGTTATTGTCAATGGAAGTATTGCATTTTTTTAACGCTGGCAGTGATGCAAGGCATGGAGTGTGCATTTTACGCTTAAAGTTGGAGAAGCACTCGCAGCTGGATGGTTGAATGGTTGTATGCAGGGCCTAATACTAGTACTCAGTGAGGCTTAAATGCAAGTAAATCTGAAAAAGGGTTACTCAGCAATTGTCTAGTATTTTATTTTAGTAATGCTAAACTAGGGCTGGGCCGATGAACGATATTATATCGAATCGCAATAAAATTTGTCAAAAACAATGATAAGCTCTGGACTTTTTTTACTCGATATTGATCTAAGCGCCAATCACACAGTGATTGGCAATGGGAATCTAAAAGTGTGTTAATATTAAAGATGTACCGAATATTCGGCCACCGAAAATGTATTGACCAAAAGAGTTGTCAATTAGTGGACCCTCTAATTTTTGTGGATTCAGTCATTGTTGGGATACTCTTTTAAATCTGGAGGCATCAACAAGTTATGTCGAAATATATATCATTATCGTTCAATATGGAAAATGCTAAAAATATGCTAAACATGCCTGATAAGGTGATACGATTTAGTGTAATTGTCACATCACAAAGAATTTATATACTGAAATGTGTAATCTGATATGAGAATGGTTTCTAAACCTGAAACAATGAAATTAATTGGACTATTTATGGCTTAATGTTTTTAGGTGACCAGCCATTAACAGATTTAGCAATTTGTTTGTTTTAGGTCATGGTCAGTTAGATAGTTATGATTACCCAATAATCTCTTCTGCTGCTGTTTTCTGCCCTTCATTTTATTAGCTCTCTTCAGGATGAGAAGGGCGGTGGAGTCATTTGTGATGCCCCTGAAATAAATGTTGTTTTTTAAATGTTTTGAAAATTCAAAAAAAAAAAATTCATAATAGTATTTATTTAAGGACAGAACTATACCATTCTTCAAGGATTTTTTCTGATTCCTCTGATCTGGAAATGTTTAGAAAAAATCAGGACAATGTTATAAATTATTTATTTTTTTATAAATAAATTTATTATTTATTGTTTAAATTATGATTATCATTAGACAAAACCAAATATCACCTGCTGCTGAGATGAGGAGAAGGAGAAACACTTTGCTCCAAGCAGGAAGCATCTTCCCTATCAGACCAGGCATTTTTTGGTTGCCGTGGAAAAACAGGTAGAGTCTTTGGTGGCACTGGATGAAGAAGTGGAGACTGCAAGTAGCAAGATCAAAAAATGACTAGCGTCAGTATGCAGCTTCTACCACAAAGATATACTTTAAAGTGCACTTTCAATTTTTATCAAATGAACAGATAGTATTCCTGCTGCTGGGTTTTCATCTTAGTTCTAGACCACTGAAGTGCATTCAACAATCTCTACATCTCCACAGCAGCAGCTGCATCACATCACAGCCTCGCTACCGTGATAGAAAAAGACCAGCTTTCTCTAAAGAAAAGAAACCGCAGAAGAAAAAGCACCGCGCTGAAAAATGACATTTGCTGATGAGAAGGAAGTTTAAGGCGGCCCAGAAAGTAATTGTGTTTTTGGAGGCAATAAATTCGGCACTTAATCACCCAGAGAGACTGCGATTGTGCCGGCCCACAGACAGAAGGAGGGTCCGCAGGGCTGTTACCTTTGGCAAAAGCAGCTCTTCCGAAAATGGCATCATTCTGGACGGCAAAGCATTGGAATGCAGGATTATCCAGTCTTTCTCCAACTCTTTCTGTTCAAAACAAATCAAAATCAAAATCAAAGTGCAGATCTGAAAAAAAAAATTAAGTGCATCTTGATGTTTTCTTATTATTTCTCCAAAGCAAGTAGCAGATCACAACCATCGGCAAAACAAAAAAATCCACTTCAAAACAGACAGAAATTAAAGCACCAGCACATAAAAAAACATGAATTTAACATGAATGCAGCTCCGCACAAGAAGTTTAGAAATGATCGTGCCTAACAGAGCCTGGTTTCTCTTTAGGTTTTTTTTCCTTCACTTTCGTCAATTGATGAAGTTTGTTCCTCGTCACTGTCATCACTGGCTTGTTTGGTTGGGACTTGTGGAGCTGCACATCGATGGATTTGGACTTTCAGTAGTGAAATTTAAACCATGCTGAACTGAACTAAACTGAATTTTTTCAATTTACTAGAACTTCGATTTTAAGCTGCTTTGACACAATTTACACTGTAAAAGCGCTATAGAAATAAACATGAATTGAACTGAATTGAACATTGTAATGCACTATAATGAATCGCCTAATATGCTACAAAGATGAGCTCACTTAGTGTAATGCACAGGTTAAGCCAAAGTTAAGCTGAGTAAACGTGATGCAAGCGGGCAGAAAATAGCAGGTGACATAAGAAAAAGAAACAACGTTTTCCTTTCCCTCTTTCCCACTCATTGACTGCTCTTTTTCAGTACCTAATCACCGCTGACAGCTTCCAGCATTACCACTACAAGCTCTACTTAAAGGACTGTCAGCGCTGCGGGTCGGGCTATCAGTCTGCAGACTTCAGCGTAATGGCAGGAGCACCACGCATCTACTCATACCTCATCAAAAATGAATTTGTCCATGTCCACCTCTTCAAAGTCCTCATCGCTCTCTATGATCTGAGCAGCGGCTAAAGCACGGGCCAGCCTTTTCCGCAGAAAGAAGCCCCTCCATGCAGCCTGCAGGGGCAATACACACAGCCATGAATCACACGCAAGCATAAATATTGTGTGTTATCCCATTAGGAAGATAAAACATGTTAACCTCTGTTTAATTGCCCCGCGGTCTGCAGTTTGAACTTTCGGTGACTTTGGCTTTGTAAGACAAATGTAACACCGGGATGCCTTTAAATCTGCGTATTCCCCGCGGGGCAAAAAAAAAAAAGACTTAACGGATCAGAACCCACTCGCTCCCACTCCAGCGACACGTTGGAATCTGATTAATCATTTTTTTCCCTCGGTCCGAGTCCTTGGAGACTCATTAAACACAAAGAGAGAGAGAAAAAAATAGCTCTTAGAAGTTACTCAGGAAAAGAATAGCCCGTTTTCAAAAGCACTGCCTACCAATTCAAAACAAGCTCTTGGCAGTAATGGGTGTAATGAAGATGATTTAATTTTATTCCAGTTATTTATTGCATTCATAAATGGAGGTATGGAAAACACCTTTCCAGAGATATGAGGCAGAAGATCAAAAATAAAAGTGAATGTTTTGTAAAAACTCTAAAAGTGAGTCTCACCTGAATAACAACAGCAGCCCATTTTATCTCAGGTCTCTCAATGCAGGTATCTTCCACCTCATGAAGCTTTAATTTCGTGTTGGTTTTTTCAATTAAGCCAGGGAGGCCCTCGCGTCTCTTCATTATGCATCTCCTCCGCCAGAATCGTTGGATCACCACAGCTGCCGCTCTGAGGAACAACGCACAAGACAATTTTATCTGATGACTCACCAAGGTCACCAGAGACTAAATGAAAGTCGCTGAACTCGGATGATTCATCTGCGTTAAAACATCTGGAGAGAGACCCAACAGGGGTCCGGTGTCATCTGAATGATTTAGAGATGAGCTTTATTTTGATTACCTGCAGCTAAAATTAAATGTACCTTCAAATCATTGGAAACTAAATGCTTTGAAAGTTAATAACGTAAAAGAAATACAGTGTTTGAGAAGCATACATTTTTAGGTTGAGTGCCTGAACAGGCTCCTTCTCGCTTTGCGTCTCTATGCAGTCAGCAGATTGAAGTTCGAGGTGAGATTGAGGATTTGGAGTTTTCTGTGGATTGTGTTTGTGCCAGTTTCTTGTAAGCGGATGCTGTTTCTCTGGATTTTCGGATAAAGATGCTTTAGGAAAAACACATGGACTACTCAACACTGTTGTCAGTGCAGGATCCTCTGTGACACAGCTGTCACCGTATTCATGGGCATAACGCTGCTCCACTGCCAGTCGGAACAGGTCTGTTTGATGACCAATGGCAAGAAGCTGGGCGTCATGTTTAGAGGGTGCAGAACTGTGAAAAAAGGCACACAAATATCACATATGATTTCATACAGATCATGTTTTTGCATTCCAATCTGTGCTTTTAGATTAGCTTTAGTTTTTTTTTAATGTAAATGTGTTGGACAGATGGTCTTTGCATCTTATGTCATTTGTTCTGTCCTGCACATGACACAGACTCTGGTGTAGCTGCCTGTTGCTGAATAAAAATGCAACTGAAGGTCTGAAGACATCTAAATTAATCAAATACAGGAAGTGATGCCACTATTAAAAGCACAGAATGCTCAATTATACGTTTTCTCTTTTTGTAGTCATAGCAGCATCCATTAAGGTTTTATACGTCTCTTTGCAGCTGATTATTGTGTGTATGAGAGGAATTCATGCCACTGTTTTGACATTGACATTACATTTAGTCATTTAGCAGAAGCTTTTGTCCTAAGCGACTTACAATTAAAGAGGCATTCAGCAATTCAACAAGCAGAGGCAATACACACACACACACACACACACAAGAAGTGCTAATTATACAAAGGAACTATTTGTGCTAGAGAATTTAGTGCTAGAGGAAGGAGAGGGAAGTTTTTGAGAGAGAGAGAGAGTGTTCCTCTACACATGGTTTGTCAAGCCCACTCACCTGTGTGAAGCACACTTCATAAGTGCACAAGATTTTTTTTTTTTTGTTTATGATTGTAAAGCGTGTGTTTTTTACAGGAGGTTTGTTAAGCATGTGTGAGTGGGCTTAAGAAACCACCTGTAGAAAATCCACTCTTTTTGACTCTTTTATACATATTATAAACACTTCATGAGCACTCAGCTCTTGAAAATACCATTATATGCACGAACACACAAAGTGCATGTTTATCACAGCTCAAAGCACTGAAGTAGCAAATTCATGTTACAAAGGTCAACTTATTCATATATTTGTGTGTGTGAGTGGGTGCATGTTTGTGTGTGTGTGTAAATGAGACATTTTATTTCAGCTAATTAAAGGCTAATTTTCAGTTGTGATTATGTACATTAATAAAAAAAAAATACAAACTAGGTCAAGGAAGCACAATTTGATCAGTAGTAAATATCCTCTGAAGACCAGGGGGCGCTCTCACGAACTGATGTTATGAATAGAGTTTGGAGTAAAACTATGTTACATGTTTTACTACACAACGCCATAGATCATTGATAAGCAACACAAACAGCTGTCATCCTCACAGAACACTTATATTGATGTTCTTATTGACAGATTTAATTAAATTCGATTTGTGTAGTAAATGCTGCTCCATCTGAACACACAAAAGAACTTCCAGCATGGAAGTTTACTGTGTCAATATAAAATCATAGCTAAAACAAACAATTCTCACTGATAAAATGCCAAATCAAAAATTTAAGTTTTCAACCTAAATTTAAAAACAAACAGAGATGATATAGATCTAATACAGAGGGGCAGAGCATTCAACAATCTAGGACCAGCTACTGCGAAAGCACAGTCACCCTTGAATTTCAGCCTCGACTTTGGGGTGCATAATAATCTCTGCTAATGACCGAAGAGAACGACCAGGCTGATGTTACAGTTAACATGTCTGACAGATAAGAAGGTGCCAGGCCATTTAGTCATTTTAAAACCAAGAGAAGCTTTTTAAAAGTGACACGATAGTGCACAGGCAACCAGTGCAATGAGCATAATATGAGTGGTGTGGTCATGTTTTTCAGTACTTCTTAAAAGCCTTGCAGTAACATTTTGAACTAATTGTAAACAGGATTGAGTTGTCTTACTAATCCCAAAAATATAGTTAATTACAGTAGTTCAACCTAGATGTAATTAAAGCATAAATTATTTTACTAGAATCTGCCTTCAATTAATTGCCAAACATCAAACCATATTTAAAGAGAAATGCATGAAAAACAACACAATTTCAACTAAAATGGAAAATACTAAATATAAAAACACAAACTTATTTCATCTATTGATACAAAAACAATAGTATCTCAGTGAATCTAATATAAGAGTATTTTATTCACCAACATCATCAAGAGTATTTAAACTAGCCTCTACCAAAGATATTTCTCATGGGATTTAAAAGGGGCATATAGTGAACTGTTTCAGGAAGTCTCTACAAAGATGTCTCAATACCACTCTAATTACTCTATTAGCCGTGGCTAGATTGGTCCCCTCCTGGCCCTGACCCCTGTCAACATTAGAAACCAGCTCTGTCCCTGCTATTCTAATCCTCTGACACGGTTAAGAGGGCATCTGCACCCGTCCAACACTCACTTCTCTCCATAATGAAGTCGTGAAAAAGAGCCTTGAAAGAGTCAACTGCAATGAACATTTGTTCTCTGAGAAACAAAACTAGCCCTCAAACATGTCGAAATCTAAAGATGTATAACAAAATGGCTAATTTGATTACCTCATTAAAACAAATGAATGTCAACTTGCATGTACAGTCAGCAACGGATGTCCTGAAAGCCAAACATTATTACAAGCTGTAAAAAAGAATGCCAAGGCAAATAAATACAACCCTAGACCTTACACAGTTCCCCTACTTACTGACAACTGAAATTAACTCGGGAGAAAAATTGGGAAAGGGTTTGAAGACCTAACATTACTTTCGCAACAACACAACATGCCTATCTGTAAAGTCATGGCATAACGTCTGTTCTGTTGGAGCGGTTTGATGGCATCCCTCAGCTCAGCCTGTCACTCTAATCAACACAGGCATTGGTTTACTATTGTATCGGTCAGACGGCAGAGTCTTCACCTTGCCAGAGCCAGGGACTGACTCTGGGTCAGGTCAGATGTTAAACGGCTGCAGCGGGTCCCTGTGGGTGTGCAAAAGAGCCTTTGTGCAGAGCGCGCGCCGGAAGGGTTAGCGGGGTATCGCTAAAGTCCTCCAAGCCATGAGAGACCTCAGCTTGAACCACAGGACACACAGACTTCTGCCAATCATGCTTTATGAAACGCACCAAGTGTTCGGCTTTATGTGCTGGTGGTCTGCAACAGCGTCGGAGGGGCTTTTGTACTGCCAAAAGTGAAAATATAATATTTGGTTGAAATTCTAAATTAAATTACTAATTAGGAAAATTAATGTGACAAATGTTCGTTTCTAAATTTGACAACATTTTAAAAATAATTACATACATAGATTAAATTTTCTCTGCCATTAATCTGCTACTGTTTTAATATTATTAAACTATACACAAATGTACTATAGACACTATGGATTTTGGAGAACAAATGTATTATTAACTATGACTTCTGCTTTTAAAAAAAACTCCTAATTTACTGCTGATTAATAATTTGTAAGATAGATTTGGTGGTTAAAATTAGCTATCTGATGGGATTAGAGATGTGGTCATGCAAAATGAGACATTGATATATGCTAAATATTTAGTAATAAAACCAATGCAAACTAATAAACCAGTAAAAAATGACAACTATAATAATTTGAACAAAAAAGACTTACCGCTATCTGAAAATTCGAAATTACTTTAAAAATAAAATAAAAAGCAAAGGACATTTTGGGATGTGAATGAATTAATAAAACTAATTATAGATTCTTAAAAAAATAAATAAATAAATAAATAAAATAATTTCTTCTTTTTTACCAAGCCCTTAATAAGAATGGAAAAGATTCCACAAACTACATTAGGCAGAAATGGGAAAGAGAATTAGCAGAAAAAAATTCAATTGAAAAATGGCTTTCTGCCTGTAAAATAAACGTTCGCAAAGGTGGAAAGAATTTGCCTGAAAATATCTGGTATGTTTTTTCATTACCCCCAGAATTAAAAGCAAACAATTGTCCACACATCAAACTTGATGGAGAATATGTGTGAAGGTTGATGTAGATCATCTCCATATTTTCTCGACTTGTAAATATATTAAATGTGGCAAGCGAGAAGAGTATTACCAAACACTGGTATAAGCATGACACCCCCTCTATTAGTGTTGGATAGAAATTGTGAAGGAAATAAGCAATATAGAAGAATTGACATTTATATTGAGACTTAAAAAGCACTTAATTCTTAAACATTGGAAAAAATGGATTGATTATTACATTGTTAACAACTGTTGAATGCATTGAACCCCCCCACCCCACAAATGGTGTGTTTTTTATTAACTTATTATTAACTTTGTATTTGTTTTTTATTTCATGTGCAATATGGCTAAATTGTATATTTTTGAATGTAAAATGTTCTGTTGTAAAATTTTAACAAGTTCTCAATAAAAATAAAGCAACGGATAAAAATGACAACTGGTCCCCATACTGAAGTGTTCTGAAGTCTTTCCCTTTAAATTCAGGCGTAGCAGAGAATTTTAATTCTTGGTAAAATGTGTTAAACGAAAAAAATTTATTTTGTTAGACAACATGCATAATCTATAAGAAGCATATGAAATGATGAGCTAAAGTGGGCTTAATTACTACACTGTAAAAATTATATGATCAGTTACTCCTGACAGCATATGTTTTTAGTTCATTTTAACTTATTAAACTAAGTTAATCACATTCTAACTTCAATAGACTCAAAGATTAATTTGCTTCAGCTTGAAGATTTAAGGCCACCAGGATTTTTTACAGTGTATATATTATTTTAGTTTTTAGGATTTAGTAACTTGGTCATTTTAGTTTTAGCCATTTTAGTCATAGTTCATATAATTTTCATTAATTTAATTTTAAAGTGTATTAAATAAGGTTTTTATTAAATAATAAAGTATTTTTTTATTGGGCAACTAGCTAAAAAATAAGTTTAAATAATAATAAGGTGTTTTAAACAGCTAATTGTCATTTTAGTTGACTTATAACCATGTTTCACTAAATTTGAAGTAATACATGTATAATACACATATTTTAGATACATTATACATTACATGTAGTAATGCATACAGTGCTTAGCATATATAAGTACACCTTACACAAATTTATCTTTTAAATTTATATTTTTAAAAGGAAGCTATACAGTATTATATTTGTGCATATACAATAGATTAGTCAGTACTGAAGCTAAATCTGGAGCTTATCTAACAGAGTAACGTACGATAACCATGCAAAAACTAGTACAGCCAAACTTACGTTGTAGAAAAATAGTAAATACAAGTTTTAAAATAATGAAAAGTCAAAAGAAGAAAAATAAATAGAAAAATATTTTGCTTGAATTTAATTGTATTATCTTTCAATTTCTGAATAGGTTCTGTGACTAAAACAATATTTATATAAATATATATGTTGTTTTGTTTAAATGCACCAAAATGCATTGCCTATATTCACTGAAAAGTGGATAAAAATGTTCATTTTCAAAACGGGGTGTACTCAATTATGCTGAGCACTGTATATAGATACTGTAGAAAATAAAGTAAAAACTTAAAGCAAAAAGCATTAAGTGGAACTGAAAGCCCTTTATTCAAATTTGTAGATGAAGGTGTAGATAAATAACCAAACTATTTAACATACAAACAAATAAGATGTGGGAATGTGTGAAAAAAAATTTTTTTTTTAAACATAGATTACCTGATCTCCATCTTCTGCTGCTGGAGGAGTGAATGACGCTGCTTTTGCTGTGCTTGACAGAGAGCCTGGAAACTCCACTTCTGTTCTGGACATTTCCAGAGCCCCACTGCTGCTGCTGCAATCTGCTCATTATTCAACTTAATCAAACCAGGCACTGTCTCCAGAATCAAGGACCTGAGAGAAGAAAAGCCATTTAGGAGATTTACCTGATGAAAATCTAATGTGAAACGACCACACAATGTGCTCAAAGCTCTTAGAAACAATTGTTAGTGACTGTTTATTTTATGTAAAAAAACACTAAGGACCATTTTAAAGCAATGGTTGAAATTCACAAAACATGAAATAAGTTGACCTTAAAACTTATTAAATATTAAGAAGTGATTTAAAGACTTTACTAATTAACTTAAATGACAGCTTCTTTTCCAAAGCAATTGTACTGTGTCCACTACAATCATAAAAAAGTAACAGGTCAATTTAAATTCAACCCTTCCATCTCTCCATGTCTCTGTGGGCTTTCTATTGGAGAGTATTTACATTCAGCAGATGAAATCAGTTAGGAAATGGGGATAAAACGTTTAATGAGTTTGACATTCTGGACCCAGGAGAATCAACAGAGCGTCTGCGCATCGAGTGAAAGTTTTAGTCAGAGCCGGCCTTTCTCAGCTTGAAACTGCACGATCACGAAGGGTTCACTGGCCTCATTCCAAAGATGTGACAGCCATTCATGTGGCCAATATAGCTTTTTTGGTTTGTTTCAATGTGCAAGAGTGTATGAGTCTTAGCTGAATCCTGCTGAGAGAGGTACAATTGATTTAGAAGAACAAGTGTTGATTAATGAGTAATATATTAAATAATAATAAAAATACTGATGATTTCTATAACTTCAGTGACTTATTATATATTTTTTATTATTATTATTTGCTCATTTATTATTTTTAATACTTTTAATATTTTTAGGTTAGTTTAATACCTTATATTTTGTTTATTTTTTTTGTAATTTGTTATGTTTAGTCATTTTAGTTTAGAATTTAGCTGTGTTTTTTTGCATATGTCTATAAAGTTTTTATTACTTTATAGTTTTATTAATTATTTTAAAAATATATTTATTTATATGCAGCATAAATGAGTTCAGAAAATAACTACCTTTTTACATAAATATTTTCTCTAGGAAGCTATACAATATTGTATTTGTGCATATACAATAAACATAGAACTGAAGCCAAATTTGGAGCTAATCTAACAAAATAACCTAATGATAACAATCCAAAAATGAGTATATCCACATGTACATGTTAGTGGAAAGTATTAAATAAAATGTTTTTTAAAAAAAATTATATAAAATGTGGTTGATTTTTTTTTTTTTTTTTTGCAATATTTCTTTTATATATATAATAAATATGTTCTGTTCAAATGTACCAAAAATGATTAGTACCTATATTCACTGTGAAATGGATGCAAAAATTCATTTTCAAAAAGGGTGTACTATATATAGGGAAGAGTGGGCACGAAAGCTAGTTTTTATGAGAAATGAGAGAAGTTTTTAAAAATAATGTTTTAATGTTAAATTTAACATTAAATGATAATGTTTTAAACATAAATATATTTTTGCTGTGGTTACTAACTCCAGTGTGCTCTGTCAAAATTGGGAGATATTTTGAAAAAACGTAGAACAACTTGAAAATAATTTCACCTTAAACATAAATTGCACATTGTTACTTTTGACCCTGTCAGTAGGGAAACAAGTAACACAACAATATTTGCTAGATTTACATTAACATCAAATGTGTCAAAAGCAACCCAACATTGTGAAATTTAAAAAAAAATAATAACAGTTTTTAGTATTATTGGTCATGTGCATTATTTTATAAAACATTTGAGTCAAAACACTGGCAACTCTAATGCGGAAGTGAAAAATAAGGCATGGCTATTAGCAGTGGGACACAAATAACTGTTATTTTTGTCACTAGGGACTCAGAGATTGCACCGCACTTAAAAACTGAAAATCGGACCCAATCGTGGGACACGGTTCCAAAATCAGGTGATATTTGACAGCTCCACCTGGAGTGGCAGGCTGAATGTGGTGTTTTAGCCTGGAAAGCAAATGTTGTCAAGGCTTTGAGAAAACCGCTTCATTATGTTTGTCCCACGTTACTTTTGTCCCTGCTCTCCACTATATACAGTTGAAGTCAGAATTATTAACCCCCTTTTTATCTTTGGCAAATATAAATTCATTCATTCATTCATTTTCTTGTCGGCTTAGTCCCTTTATTAATCCAGCGTCGCCACAGCGGAATGAACCGCCAACTTATCCAGCAGGTTTTTTACACAGTGGATGCCCTTCCAGCCGCAACCCATCTCTGGGAAACACAAACACACACATTCACACACTACGGACAATTTAGCCTATCCAATTCACCTGTACCGCATGTCTTTGGACTGTGGGGGAAACCCACACGAAGGCAGGGAGAACATGCAAACTCCACACAGAAACCACAACTGAGCCAAGGTTCGAACCAGCGATCCAGCGACCTTCTTGCTGTGAGGCGACAGCATTACCTACTGCACCACTGCCTCGCAAATATAAAATAAATCAGTAATTAGAAATGAGTTATTAAAACTATTATGTTTATAAATGTGAAAAAACACTTTCCTCTGTTAAACAGAAATTGGGGAAAAAATAAACATGGGGTAGTAATTCAGAGGGGCTAATAACTTCAACGGTATATATAATATATATACATAAATATATTTAATATAAAATATGTCTGTTTCAAGTAAATATATGTTTTTATGATTTCAGATTTTCAGATTTTCAGTTTACTATAATAACTGAACCCTGATAACAATATTTATTGTATTGGCAAATTCTATTCGAGCTGATATTTCCATAAAACTCATCAAAACATCTCTATGGCTAAGAAAAAGAATCAAAATATTTACAGGATACTTAGTCATTAAAGAGAAGTCATAATATATGTCTCTGAACAGTGATCACAATCAGCTGTGTCATTTTTACAGTAGTCACGTGATGCACCAGTGCTCTTTCGGCCACATTGTGTCCAGTCGCCATGCAGGCTCCAATTACTACCAAAAACTGACTCTATTCATTACTCGTGAAAACTTCCCGGTAAACAAAGAAACTTGCGGCAGTCGATTAATCTAGCTAAAGTCTTTTCTCCCAGACTCAGAAAAGTCGTGCACAGTGTACTTCTTTGAAATCTCCTTCAGTGCTTTAATTTAGGCTGTGTTATCACTGGACGGGGATGAAAGGGCCAGCGGAGAGCGAGAAAAACACTGGCTCTAATTCCGTTGTTGGCATTGAGGGTTAGACAAAGTTCAGAGGAATACTGAGCCTGACTCCAGTCAACTTCCTATCCGTCAATATGGAATAAAACAGATGTAAAGACACAACAGATATATTTCACCTCCGACATCTCTTTGGAAGCCACATGCAAAATGTGGAAAATGAAGTTTAAGAAATAACTAACAAAATAAAAAGCTAAATATTTTACTGCCGGCTAAGGAGAGAATGTCACACCATATTTAATTTGTACATTTAGTAAGAGTCTGTCAGGAAAATAAATGTGTTGCCAACGCTACACTCTTTGGGCTTTCTGAAATTTAAAGTCATAACAGTCAGTGAATCTCTTTAGTGTTCATTTTTCCATTTTGACTGAATGAACCGAACTCAAAAAAATAAATCAATCGGATTAAAGCAATTACTCCTGGTTGCACTTTTTTTCTACCACCTTAAAAATGTCAGGAAACCAATTGTCAAGTTAAAAAAAAGTTTTATTTGTGTACTATGAACTAATTCAGTTTAGGTACACATTAAATGATAATTTAACTTAGGGTGCTTTCACACTTTCACACCCAAGTTCGACTGTCCCCCTTTGTCACCTTCTTGGCCTGTTTTGTGTTCACACTGTCTTTTTTTTGTCCTTCTGAACCCCGGTACGCTTGCGTCATTAAGCTGCTGTTGTGTGTACAGCTGTTGCTAGGTAATGGATGGCCACAAAAGCCAAGGCACCAAAATGGAAAGATGTATGCACATCACAGTCGATCTGCTTTTACTGAATCTTTTGGTTTGTGTGTGAGCATCCGAGTTCAGAGGACATTGTTCACACTAGCTAAACCTACCGTACTTTGACATCAAACTAACCCAGAAATGGACCAAAAGTGCTAGTGTGAAACCCTTAAATGTACAACTGAAACGTAAAGGTGCAATAGGAGATATGGGGAACGTTAGCCTGATAACAATGAATTTTTTTTTTAGTAACAAAAAGTAACAGGAAATACCTAAAACAATAATTTGTTCTAAAATTTTGTGACCTGAATACAAATTATACATATTCATTGTACATCTAGTAACACAAATGATACAAGGGGTAAGGGAAAAAATACATGAAAGAAAAACAAATATTTAAAGTAAACAAAATAAAAAATATAAATATATATCAAAAGAAATAAAACATAAATATCTCAAACTATACTTAGATAACTAGGAATGTTACATAGGCATACCAAAAGGATCTGATAAATTAAAGGTAATGATTATAATGATAATATTATTATTAATAATTTAATTATAATTATATAATTAATATAATAAATTAATTATATATATATATATATATATATATATATATATATATATATATATATATATATATATATTATATAATGTATAATATAATACATTACATTATAAATATAATATAATTAATTATAATTTTTTAGCAGTTCAGTTGTTTTAGCAGCTTTCTTATTTTGCGATAGGCAGATTCATAATAAAGTTTCAAGTCAATACAAAATTTTCTAAAATTAGGCAAACACTGAATAACTAAGTTTGTGAAGAAGGAAAAGGCCACAAAGAGTTAAAAAATTTTAACATATTGTGCATTTCCTTACAATCTGACTCCCAAATCAAAACCAATAAATGAATTGTCTTAAAATCAAAAAGTTTTTTGTGAGCTGAGAAAACAAGCCAAGATATTTCTGTCCAAAACCTTTCTACAAAATTGCATTGTAAAAATAAATGGGCTATTGTTTCCAGATTGGAATTACAGAATGTGCATTGCGAAGAATTGTTTGTATTAAATTAAGACAGTAAAGAATTATAGGGATAGTAATTATGAAGGATTTTTAAATAAAGTTTTTTCATCTTATAAGGCACTAAAAATGTATTGATACCAGGCCAAATTTTAATGGTAGACAGAACCGGGTAATTTAATTTCCATTTATAAAAAGCCTTTGGGTACAAACTAGACTTATTAACCAAATTTCTTCTAATATACCAATTATAACATTCAGTATTAGTAATTTTCACCCCTCCAATAGCTAATCCAGGCATTTCACATTAACAATGAAAGCTTACAACGCGCAAATCGCCATTCAAAGCGACCACTACACAATCCAGATCCGATCATATAATCTTTATATAATATATATATATATATATATATATATATATATATATATATATATATATATATATATATATGCGGTGGCACAAAGTTAGACCTTTCTTGACTTCACACAGAAAGATTAACGCGTGTGGCATGACATCACTTTTGTTGCAAAGACTCTATTGGTTAAATGCCAGCAAAGTAGAATGCGAAAGCAGCTTGAATCGGAAATCGTGAGAGGTCTGCAGTCTGGTGGTATTATAAAGTGGATGACGACAACATTGCCATAGCAAACTGTGAGATATGTAAACTTGGATTGCCTGCCGGGTATTTTAAGTTGAAGTGCTATTTGTTCTTAAATTAGATTATTTTTAGATTTACTGTTGCAAAAAAGCCCAAAAATGAAGAATTGGTGTTATTTATTACAGTAAGTTACCTCACAGATGTGCTCAGTTTGATAACAGAGTTGTTGAATGTTAAAATAAGGTGTATTAAATAAAAAATAAGGAACATCCTGGATCTGTTTCTTCGTTCTTATTTATTTAGTTTTTTATGTATTAAAGAAGTATCGGATCGGGTTTCAGAATCGGTAGATACTTAAAATCAAATGACTCTGACTCGAGGGCAAAAATACCTGATCAGGACATTCCTACTAGACAACATCACTACAATAAATCTTGTAACATTTACCAAGGAGAAAAATTATAGTAAAGTTATTTCCAATACCAAACTTTAAAAAAGAAGGCAGGTTGTTGATGTTTGCCTGCAGCTCTCAGTCAACCGTGTCAGTGAACACCCAGATGAGGTAATTGTTTCTGCATGAACAGGGTGCAAGGAGGTAAGCGTTTACATATTTTGACAGACAGGTAGGACAGCTTATCGTAATGTTTGGACCAAACCTTTTGATTGCACAAACTTCTCATGGTCCTACACCTTCCACACAATATTCTAATACATATCAATACAGCCACTTAATTTAATGATACCTTTAAGGATGTGAAGAGACTTTCAACTAGCATAGCAAAAAAACAACTACAATTCTAAAGACAATCACCTATTGCACCTAATGACTTATGTTTCTGAAGCTTTATTTATATCTTAAACTTTAATTTATATTTTTGAAACTTTAAGTTAAGTAACACAGTCATCAACCTAATGACAGGCTCTACTTTTCAGAACAATCAAACCCCCCCAAAACGTACAAAAATGTCACAAACCACAACATAACAACATAAATAAACAAATAAATAAACAATTGCTGATCTCCCCCCTTCAGTTATTTTAATGCTGATCAAAAACACACAAAAAACACCTAATTTAAGCGTTTGCTTTCATTTAACAATTGGAAGCAAAAAAGCTAGAACACTGTTCATTCCAATTGAGTTCCACTTAATATAATCTGTTTTTGAGGTCACACAACTTATTCCTTAATAGTATATTGAACTTTAAGTGATATTTGAGTAAAATATACTTGTTTCATCTAGTAAATTAGACTGTTAGGTTTTACGGTCCATAAGAACATCATTTGCTCATTAAGAACTTTAGGAGCACATTTTCTCACAAAATATTCCCCCACTGAGCAAATATTTTCAGAATTACGAACACTTAAGTCCACGTGCGTACAGATGTCACTGAGTAATCCAATAGTGGACACAGATACAATGGCTGGTGCAGTGATATGGGCCGGAAGCTCAGCGGTAAAGAGGAATGTTTATTCTGCTTTAAACGCCTGCTGCACTTCCAGCCAAAGTCCCTGTTCACATTAGTTTCACATTCTCTGACAATTATGAAATGCTTAGTGACTTTTGATGGAATGCACAATGACAGCTTTTACCCGATCCAAGATAAATCACCTTTTTATAAAATGAGGAGCCACATTTTCTATATGCTTCTTTTATCAACAAAAAGTTGATGTGCCTCTGCATTTTGGCAGTTATAAGTGCTATTAAGAAACTGAAAAATTAATCTAATTGTCAATGTGCAAGGTTTTAAACTGAGTCCTTGCGTCACACCTACCTCCAGTTGTTTTCCTGCAGTAATGGGTTAACAGTCAGGCTAAGTTCTTGGAGACTGCTGCATTCCTGAAGATTCAGACAAAAGTCCTGCAAGTCTAAAAAAAAAGTCAAAACAGCGCCCTCCTTAGAGACACTTTACAATTTACTCTACAAATGGTTATGACTGTACTTCTGGGCAATCAATTAATATTCACAGACATTTTATCTTTAACGGTACATGGAACCGGTCAGTAAATAATAATGAATAATAATGGTAGTTTTATCCAAAATTTGTATGTTATCTTTCAATGTACTATAATAGAAAACAAAAAATTTCAAACGTATTCATAGATTTAATTTAAAAATTGCTTAAGCTTTACAGCTCTATTATATAAAACAACCATTTATAGTGACCATTTTTCATATAGACCAGAATTGTAAAAAACATTACACAAAATATTATTTCACATTTCACAATGAGTCGACCCACTTCATATCACATCAACAACAAAGCCCCAACCTTTAACGAAACAAGGAATCGTGAGTAAAACCGCTAATGACTGTGACTGTTGACTCTGACTCTCGATTTTGAGGTGCTTTTGTGTGTGTGTGTGTTATTGAACTATTTTTGTGTTGATGAAAAGACAGAGTGAACATCTGTGGCTTGATGGCTTTGTTGTGTTTGTTTCAAATTGATCCCTACATGAAAAGTTTTATGAGTGTGTATTTGTTTGATGTTTGCAATGATGTTTTCTTTGATATTTGATTCCTGATTTAATTTTCAAACACGAGTGATGGTGGTTAAGATAATATTTTGGAGTGTTGAATCTCAGTAATCACAGCTTGTGGGTCTGTGTATAAACAGTAGTTTAACAGGGCTTTGTAAGGTTTCTTGCTTATTATATTGTTATATTTTTTGTTTGTTTGACAGTGAGATACTGTCTGGCACCTCAGCATTTATAAAATGATCAAAAAGAAAGGTTACAAGCTTACCTGACAGACAGTTATGACTGACATCCAGTGTCTTCAGAGACACTAGGTCCAAGAGTGGACTTAAATGTGTTATGCTGTGAAGAAAAGTTAACAATTTTAAAACAACAAAACATCTTAGCACAGTACATTAGTGTTTTTATGTTAAATTTGACATATGAACATATTTAAACATTGCAAAAATGTGGCATTTAAGTAGGATTACAAGTAGGATTTCAATAGATCACCTAAAATTAAAAATTCTGTCAATAATTACTCAACTCATGTTGTCCCAAACCCCCAAGAGCTTCATTCATCTTTAGAATACAAATTAAGGTATTTTGGATGAAATCTCAAAGCTTCCTGATCTGCAATAGAAAGCAATGGTCCCAACGCAGTCCAGAAAGGTAGATAATAAAGCATATTTGGCATGCTGCCCTAGAGAGAGAGCCCTGAGCTCAAAAAGATGCTTGAGCCCTGGGCTCCCACCAGATTGAAGGGTGAGAGGGGAGTTTGAGCTCAGGTAGATCTCGAGAAATTCTTTGCTTATAAATGACAAATTATGGATTACTATGGAAAATACTGCTGACTAGAGCTCGTTTATAGTGCCGATTTGGTTTGGTCAAGTCGCCTATGTCGCATGTCTTTGGACTGTTGGAGCAAACCAGGGAACCAAGACAAAACCCCCGTGAGCATGTAAACATGTAAACTCCACACAGAAACGTTGGCTGGCCTGGTAAGGACTTGAACCACTGATGTTCTTGCTGTAACAGTGCTAACCACTGGGCTGCCGTCTGGAAGGAGGAGTAGGGGTGGAAGGGGGGATTCTTCAAAATGAAGCTACTGAGGTAATAAATTCTGGCTATTTACGGTGAGTTAAGAATTGAATGATTGGTGGATCATGTATTAGCTACTGCTGGACCAGCTGTGTTCAAAAATTATTTATACCCCAGATGCCTGCACACGACGTATGAAACAAAGCTCAGACATCTGAGAGTGAAACAGACAAAGAGCACAGCACTCTCATGAACCTGCACCCTATACTGACACTTAGAAGAAGAACTGTTGAATAGTCATTCTTTATGTGTGGACAAAAGCATTCATGTAGCTCAATAATATTCTGTTTGAACCACTGAAAGTATATGATCTGTTTCGAGGATGCCATTTTTCTGGACTTTGAACAAGTTGGGACCATTGCTGTCTATCAGGATGAGGGAGCTTTAATAACTTTAAATATCTTCATTTGCAACCTGCCTAGTCAGACAAATAATGGCTGCTTAGTTATGCAGTTATTAGGTTTTGCTATGCAATCATTGGTCATTAAGGCCTACCTGTTTTGGACCACAGAGAGGTTTTGGAGCAAAGGGAGCCAATAAGATTTCAGATCATCAAGACTAGGAATGAGATTGTCATCTAGGTAGAGGTCCCTCAAAAGAACGTGGTTCTGCAGAACGGGCAGCTGTACCAGAACAACAAAAACATCTTTTCTGTTCCAACAATGAACACTCTCCCATGAGCTGAGATGGGTGGAAACTTAAGCCTCGCCACGAACAAACATGACTAACATCCACACATTAACCATAACAGATAGCAATAATTCAATTAAAAAATGGCGCCTCTCTTAAGGATGTGTGGGTTTTAGTATATGAGTTTCATGTAATGAACACTGACAAGTTACGCATTTCCTGGACACTAGGACGAAAATTTGTTTCTACACAAATTCTAAACGAACATCTATGATTTCACTGGGCATAATTAGAATAACAACAAAAAACAGTTCTCAATCACCGTAATGGAAAAGTCCAATTACACTATAAAATTCCTGTGGATAAACAGACATGATCTCATCTTGCTTGTTTCTTTGCTAGTGTAAAATTTACCTCAGTCAGACTGTTTCCTTTGAGGTCCAATGTGTTAAGAAGAGCACAATTCTTCAAACCCTCAACGTGACTAAGGTAATTGTACGAACAGTCCAGATGCAAAAGGGTATAAATTTCCTTTAAACCTCTGGTGCTGAGCAGCTGGTTATGGTCTACTGACAAATGCAGAAGCATTTTCAGGGCTCCTAAACCACCTACGAAAGCAAAGATATATCATTCAGTCAGTAGCTGTGCAAAAGTGTGTGAAGGTAATTTTAGGCTGTGGTGACAATATCTAATACCAGCCAGAGGATAATCTAATATAAAAATGAAGCACTGGCAGGACATCATCTAACACTGGCAGCAAATACCTTTAAATTGTTTATATTCTCTTCTTTATGACACATTTATTCATATGTATTTAATATGGGGCCATTTTCTTAGAAATGAGAAGCATCAAGATATATTTTTGAGAGCAGAATGAGGGCAAAAGGCCATTTGAACAGCCAAAACAGGAACCATGATGCCCTCTACTGGACAAGGACAACAATCAACACTGAATGCTAATTCTGTGCACTAGATAATGCTTTACACAATGCAGAAAATGCCAAAAGTCAATAATAGCTTCGAGTTTAAATACCCACTGATGAGAGAGATGTTGTTGTGTGAGAGCTGAAGAGTTTGCAGGTTTTGAGCTTCATCAAGACCGTGAATGTTCATCAGCTGGTTCCTGCCCAGAAGGAGGATCTGAAGGTTGGAAAGACCTTCACAGTCCACATGAGTAATTGAGTTCTCCTTAATACAACAAAGAAACAATGAGCTATACAGATACACATTGTTGTACAAAAAAAATCTATCACAGCTTCCACAAAATAGTAAAATGAAAAATAAATAAATCCCCCTTTGACCATAACCTGTGATTAATTTTTTTTTTCAGTTGAACATACACACAAAATAAAAGACATTTTGAATAATGATGGGAAATGTTAGCTTTTGACATCCATAATAGGGGCAAAAAAAATACAGATGTCAATAGATAATATTCCTTCAAATATCGTCTTTGAAACTTAATCAGAACAAGTGGAGGGTGAGTGAATGATGACATAATTTGTATTTGGGTGAACTATCCCTCAAAGAATGTATTAAGCTTCCAGCAAATAATTTTGAAAACTAAAAACAAACTTATCAATTATTTTAATTTTTATTAAAAATTATTACTTTTACTTAGAATGTATTAAACCGATGCTTTAATTAGGTTAAAAAAAAAGAAAGTAAAAGATGCATTAAATTTATCAAATGTATCATTTAAATAACTTGTATATTTCATCAGAGAAAACATTCTAAAAATAAATAACTACAGTCTTGACAAAAATATTAAGCTTATATTTTTAACAATGATAATAAGAAATGTTCAGCAGCAATTCTTCATCAGCAAATTATGAATGATATCAGGTATTAGATATATCATGTGACTGAACACTGGGGTAAGCATGATAAAGATTCAGTTTTGTCTTCACATTAATAAATAAAATTCTAAAGTAATAAATTAGAAATCATGCAATTTAAATTGTGAAAATATTTAACTATACTGTAAATTAGTACTATTTTATTATATTATGATCAAATAAATGAGGCCTTGGAAAACGACACTCAAAAAATGACTTTTGATGCTACTCCTATCTACTTATTTAAAATGAGTTGAAACAAAACAAATATTAAGCATTTTTAGGACAACTTAATCGTCTTATGTTCAATTCACTGAAATTTATAAAAACTATTAAGTTAACTTAATCAATTTGTGTTCATGAGGACTGTGCAGAACCCAGCAAATTTTACAGTGTAAGTAAACTTTCACAAATATGTTCATTTTGAATAATACTGTATACTCTATAGCAGGGCAGGGGTGCCCAAAGTGTTATATAAAGAGCCAAAAACCAAACTCTATTGAGGGCTGTGGGCCGAATATATAGCAAACCGTATTATAATAAATTTGCCAAGGGGAATTTTATGGTGGCCAAGAGACCTAAACGCGGAGCAATTTAAAAAAGCAAATGCAATTACAAAAAACACCAGCAAATAAAGAAACGATCTTGTGTTGCAAATTGGTCAAAACACAAACAACTGAAGAAACATGCTGCAAATTGATCACAACGGAACTGTTTTGAGTGGACCCAAAAACATGAAAGACCCTGCTGAGATATGGATGTGTTATTATGTCATGTAATGAGGATAAATAAAATAAACGAAAAACAACTCACCTTTCAAAGACCACCAATCACTTTACTGGGCAAGGCATAACAGTCAAGGCATAATAACACATCCATATCTCAGCATGGTCCATCATGTTTTTGGGCCCCCTTGAAACATTTCTGTTGTGTTACGTGGATAATTGCAAGTGTTGTGACCAATTTGCAGCGCGTTTCTTCAGTTGTTTGTGTTGTGACCAATTTGCAAGACGTGTGCTGTCAAATTGATGAAGATTTTTTGTAATTACATGTGCTTTCTTAAATTGCAGAATGCTAAGCTCTCTTGGCCACCGTATAATTTGCTAAATAATTCAATATTATTATTATTATTTTAATTATATTATTTATATTAACTAATCAACTTTTTATGTAAACTAATCCTATTATAACACAATAGAGTTCAATGCTGAATACACTAGTCAAGCTGTTCCTGCCTTTAAAGAAAAAAAGCGATAAAACCCAAAGACATTCGCTCCAACCCTCTCTATCATTCTCACTCTCTTATCAGATGGGACAGTGGGCCAAATCAAAGGTTACCATGGGCCAACTTTGGCTCGCAGGCCCTACTTTGGGCATCTCTGCTATATATAATGAAAATATTTTTGCAAGGTTCAAAATAATGTACATAATCAATACATCACTGGACAGTTTGTTCTTTCTTACTTGAACATCAATGTATCTGATTTGAGAGCACTGGTTTAATCCATCCAAAGATGTAAGTCCGCAGCGCCTAAGAGTCAAAGTCTGCAGTTTGTGACACTCAGACAGTGTGGACAAGCTGCAGCCCGGCAGGTCTTCCAGCATCACTGTTGTAACCTGTTTTGTTCACCACACAGTGACAATGGTTATTACATTACAATAAACATACAACTCATGTCAAACTCTTAATTTTTACTTGTTTGAGAGAGTTCCAAGCTCCTGCTTTGAGAATAGCGTCCTCAGACAAAGGACGTAAACTGGGTCCCCTTTTTCTTGCTTTTCTCTTTTTGGATTGCTCCTTCCTTTTATTCTGCAGTGACAGTTTGGACCATGGAGTGCAGCTCATCATCCAGGCCAGCCGCTTCTGCTCTGTGCTGTCAGGTAGACATGCTGAAACCGATTCTTGGCTTTGTACTTTATAGTTCTTAGTCTCACTTTCTGTAGTATTTCGATAACAGCTATTTTCCATTTCAGTTGATTTTACATTCAAATCAGAAGCAGGCATCATCAAGTCTGAGTTTATGCTCTTTGCATGATCTTGACCAATGGCAAGGTCATTGGAAAGACCTTGATGTGCATTTATGTGGGAGTGTGCAATGATTTTGGTCATTTTTCTTGATTGTTCATGCTTTTCATTGCTATCAGTTTCAGTTTCTTCTCCATGGCTCTTTATTCTTTCTTTATAATGGTTTATTTGAGGCCTTGTGTAATCTAATGCGTTTATGCTTTGGGATTTATCCTGTTTTTCTATTGTGTTTATGTCACCCTCTGATGTCTTATCCAGTGTTCTTATTATTTCATTATTATCTTCTGTTCTTTGTGCATTGAGCATATTGTCTTTGTTTTCAGTTTGCACAATAAGCACATTGATTTTGTTCTTTTCGTCTCTTTCCTCCTCTATTTTACATTGATCCTCCACCTGAAGGTTCTGTTTGGCTTCTTTTCTCTGCATTTCTTTATTGGTTTTGTCTGCATCCACGTCCTGTCTCCTGCAATCATCTTTAACACTTGTAATGTTATTCTTCTCCTCCCTCTTAATTCTCTCCCTCATCTCATCTTCCCTTTTCTGCTGTTCAACGTTTCGTTCTCTCTCCAGACGATGGCGCTCTTGTTCTTTTGCTCTTTCATAATCTGCTCTCCGTCTCTCTGTCTCCTCTCTCTGAATGCGTTCTTCCTCCTCAATCCGCTTTTTTTCTTCCTCTCTCTCCATCTTCAACTTCTCCAGTGTTCTCTTCTCCTGCTCACGTTTTTTCTCCTCCTCTCTCTTTTTGCTCAGCTCTGTTTTGCTCCAGCGACGCACTAATGTTCCTCTAAGAGCAGCTTGGAGTTTTGTGGCTGCTCTGCAATGAAGCTTCTGTGTTCTCCTTCTCTCTTCTTCCTGAGCCTCCTCAAAAGCCCGTCTCTCCTCCTTCATTTGCTCCTCCAGTTTCTGTATTAAAGTCTGAAATTAAACATTGCGTAAGACTTTGTGTGGTAAACATAAATATATTGTTTTAGTCAAACTCTTTTTACTTTTTAATATATAAAAATGTCATTTATATTTCATTTATATATGACTGTCAATGTTTATTTATTCATTTTTCTTCGACTTAGTCCCTTATTTATCAGGGGTCGCCACAGCAGAATGAACTACCAACTATTCTGTCATGTTTTACGCAGCGGATGCCCTTCCAGTTGCAACCCAGTACTGGGAAATACCTATACTGTAGACTCTTGCATTCACACACACACATTCATACACTACGGCCAGTTTGTTTTACAAATCACCTATAGCTCATATCTTTGGACTGAGGGGGAAACCAGAGCACCCAGAGGAAACCCATGGCAACAAGGGTAGAACATGCAAACTTGAAACAGAAATGCCATCTACCCCATCCGGGACTCGAACCAGCAACCTTCTTGCTGAGGCAACATTTCTAACCACTGAGCCACCATGCTGCCTGACTGCCAATATTTTATATTAAATATATATGGATCAAAAACAAATGTTGCTTTCAGGCATCAAATCCATAAAAGCATAAACTTTTTCTCTGAAAATTGTATTCTGTCCTGTTTTCGTTCTAAATTTTAATAATAAATGTAAAATACTTAAATTTTAATAATACATTTTTAGCATTATTTACAAAAGGCACACACACTAAAATGTAATTTGGTGTAACAAGAATGTATATTCAATGCATATTGGCGGGTATACTTAGAGCAAGGATCATTTGAAGGCATATTTTCCAATACTAGGTTGCAGCTAGAAAGGCACCTGGTGTGTAAAACATATGCTGCCTGGAATAGTTGGTGGTTTATTCCGCTGTGGTGACCTCTGAAATAGAGACTAAGCCAAAGGAAAATTAATGAATGAAGAACGCTGGAAAAAAAACATTCTTCATTATATCTTTCTTTTTGTTCAACAAATGAATCTCAAATGGGTTTGGAACAAATGGGGGATAACTAAATGATTAGTTTTTCACTTTTGGATGAACTATCTCCTTAAGATCTAAACTTTAGATTTTTAAAATGTAGATATTTTTAGACTTTAAGACCTCTATGAATCCCTGCATGTAAAACCATTTATTAAAAGAACACATTCAATATTTGTCATATTTAAACTCACCTGTTGCTTATCCAGCTCCACTTGAAGATCTTCTGCATGATAAACCTTTCCTCCATCATTATGAAACTGTTGTTTTTATACAGAATTTCCGCTTTGTTATTCATCTTTTCCTCTTATTTTAGAAATATATCTACATATACAGTTGAAGTCAGAATTATTAGCTCCCCTTTGAATTTTCTTTTTCTTTTTTAAATATTTCTCAAATGATGTTTAACAGAGCAAGGAAATTTTCACAGTATGTCTGATATTTTTGTTGTGGAGAAAGTCTTATTTGTTTTATTTTGTCTAGAATAAAAACAGTTTTTATTTTTTAAAAAACCTTATGGTCAAAACTATTAGCCCCTTTAAGATATATAATTTCTGATAGTCTACAAATTCTGACTAATTCTCTCTACAAATTCTGCTAATAATTCTGACTTCAACTGTATTTTATTGTGTCAAAAATGTCTTACCTTCCCGATCTTCTTTAGCTCCTCCTCAAACTCCATCAGTCTTTTCCTCCTCCTTTCCTCTTCTTCTCTCTCTGAGTTCAAATGCAGCTCTCTTTCTACCTCATGTGCTGCTAGTTTCTGCTCCTCTTCCTTATTTAGCCTTTTCTCTAATTCTCTCCACTCAAGACTAAACTGCAATTTACTCTCAGTGGAAATATCATGTTCAGTTATATCTAAAAAACAGAGTAAAGACATAAAAAGATTTTTAAAAAAAAAATTCTGAAAAGTTTCTGCAGGTGCGTAATAAACAAATCTTTATTAAGAATGTACCTTCCGTGCATGATGTATTTGTAATCTCCTGTTCGGATTTCTGTGGCTCCACATGACTTTGAAGTCCAAATTGTAATTCAGAGATTACCTGACAAAAAAAAAAAAATGTATACGCATTTTTACTATAAACATATTTATTCTCTAACAAAATGGGTTCTATGCAAAACAATCTCAGGGGTTGATGTCTGTGCATGTCTGAAAACAATAAGGTTACTTTCTGAGAATCTACAGCCTAAATTCATATTGACTGAACACAAACAAAGCTGGGATATATAATAGCTCGTTTGCTAGTGCGAGGGACAAACTGAATTAAAGGTTAAGTTAGGGACAAAACACAGACACTCCTCCTTTCCTCTGTGATGACTCAGATGGGAAAATAATCCCATTTCAATTTAACCACAAACAAATAACCATGACTCACTCTCTCTTTCCAATTGATGGGGTCGTCTATGAAATCTGAAGCTGGTTCAGTCGCAGGATTATTACTGTGATTAAGATGAAACAGTTCCTGGCTTGAAATGTCTATGTGTAAACCAAAAATAATAATAATAATGAAAAAAAACATGATGCCTCAAGTATGTTGTCTTAACGAAGGTGAAGGTGTGCCATTTTAAAAATGCATACTCACCATTTTCTTCCACATCTTTAAGGATTAAGTATTCAAAAGCACTGATTTGATTTCTTGAAGCTTCAACATATGTGAGCACTGAGTCAGGCAGCTCACCTTCAACAAGAAGCTTTTATGAACATAGGAGATTGTTGTCAGTGCCAGGTAATACTTTATTGTAAAGTCATTACAATATCCTGACAATACAATAAGGTCTTATTTTTAGACATTAGTAAGTTCATTATGTAACATCATCTAACATTGAATGGTATATTTGGGTGTCGACTAGAAATTACCCAGGGCTCAAATTTGAGATTTTCTTAATTTGTCTGAAGAAAAGAAAACATTAACAGTGATGAATACCAAAATATTAAATGTCATTGATATATGTTTACTGATTAATCCAATATTTTTGCTATTTCATGTTAACTAATGTTATACTGTCAACAAATGAAATCATTTTCTGTAAATTTTTATTGTACGTTAATGATACAACCTTTTTGAATAACTGCCTGCATAATAAATCATGTCTATAACATGAATCATGCCTATAACATGTCATGATGTCACAAAAGTTAGATAAATGATAACATTATTTGATGTTATTGATGTGTTTGTCTTAACTCATAACAATTTAAACAGAATTAAGTGTTTTAATGAAACATATTGAACTTGGTATAGACATAATAATGGCTTAAAGGGACTTTGGTATTACTAACAGCATATTTTATGTCAGCAAATAAATTAGTTTTCATTAAAAAGTGAGTTGAAATACGGCGTTTGAAAGTCGCCGTAGATTTAATAAATAAAATGGCCACTTACATTACTAACGTTATTCAAATCATTGCTGTCATCGTCTGACTCTATATCATTTTCAGAAGGGTGAAGGTTTAATTTCATAAGCTCCTCGTCAATTGCCCGTTCGATATCATCCATTTCTCGCGGATCAAGAATCAACAAACCGCCTGGAGAAACGAACTGTTTGTTACAATAGACGTGCAGATTTGCAACTGAAGTAAATTCACGACAGCATAAATACAAATATATAATAATGACGATATACAAACATCTCATAAGTATATAAAACACATGCCGCTTTCGGTCTGCCTTTATTGGAAACAAAGTACCTGCCCTGTGTTTTTCTTTTCACCTCACGCTGTCTTTTCGCGTCCTCCGCAGTTGCTATGGAAATACAGTAGAGAAGTACAGAGCCTCGAGAAGGACAAACGTAATGAAGATCACTCCGCGACAGAGATGCTTATCTTTTCGGACAATTCGTCTTTTCAGAACGATCGAACCAACAAAGGGTTACATTATCATGAAAATATATTTCTTTAAAATCAGTTTATTGAGTCAGCTTTGCAAATTCTTTTTCTATTATAGATTAGTATTTGTTCCCAGTGCACTTTATTTTGATATTTGCTCCCCCTACTGAAGGCATTGTTCATTACAGCGGCCTGATGGATGCAATAAAAGTGAGCTGCTTTGTCTTCCGTCATTTTAGGCAATTCACGTTTATTTGTGTACAGGTTTACTTTTAGGATAAAACTGCTTTTAGCTATTTAATAACATTGTGTGATGTTGTCATGATTGTGTGTTTTAGATGGGTCCTTCTGGAGTTTTAGCTTGATGTTAATTGACATTGCAGACTACAGTAGGGCTTAGAATAGCGCCATTGGCTCAAGAGGACAACTGCCATAGCTGCTCTGTGACTTTCTTTCACATTGGCACAGTGAGAGACATTTTAAATCTTATTAGTCTATTGCAAATTGGCAAGTTGCAATTATGATGTGTCAGTGTTTTTTTTCCAGTTGATAAGGTGTTTTATATTTACATATTCTACCACAACTGCACAACAATGTTATATGTTAAGAAGCAAAGTTGTTTTAGGTAGTTTTCTTTTAAGAGTTAGGTTTTAATTAAATTTTAACAATTTTTTTCATCAATATCGATGCTTCATCCATTGCACTTCAGCATGTCTCCAATTCAACAGGTCGGGGCCTAAAGAAAACCTGTTTCCCATTTGTAATTATGACTTTGTGGTAGAGATGCACAATGTATCGTTTCAACATTGATATTGCAATGTACACAATAGTCACATCGAGGGATATGCAATTTTGAGTCTGGATAGGGTATATCGGAAGAAGTAAAGGACTTTTAATTTGTCAGTAACCTGGGTTAAGCGCTTCCAGTGAACAGTATGTCATTACAAAATCGTCGCGTTTATAGTCTGTTTTCTTTAAAAATCAGCGATTTCCACTGGCTAAGTGATTTCCGATATAAAGTGGGTTTCAGATTGTACAAGAAGCTATGCATTAAATTACATTTTTCCATGCCATATCTTTAAAATATGAACATTTATTCATGATAAATATTTATAAATATATATTTATAAATATTTTATGAACTTCTGTGCTAGCCTGCCGATAGGCATGTGCGAGTAAACGGCTTTTTATTTCGTTTTACGCTTGATCAACTAAATGAATGCCAAAATCTATTTAACTGATTATATTTTAATTACATCACAACATCGATGCTGTAAAAGGAACTGTATAAAATGGAAAAAAAGTCACATTAACCGTTCACCGGAAATTTATCAGTATGGGAAGAAACACTAGCTCTGCATATACCTTATTATAGTTGACCAGGAGCTACTGAACTATTTAATTACTGTATTTATACATCATTTATAAGATTTGTGCAAACAAAACCAGTCCAAATATCTACATTTTAAAGCGAAAACAAGATTATTTTACTCTCCCCACTGGCAGATAATTGAGCTTGTTTTAAGGAAAAACTATTAATTTTGACCTATTTAATCTGAAGAAATTGAAAAAAAAAATTTTTTTTTACTTGATCTAAGAATTTTTAGATTTTTGAACTAGAAACGAGCCAAAGTAAAGTATGATTTTCATTGTGATTATGCAAATTAAATTTCTGTACCAGAATACTGTCCCCAGAAGACAGCAGCTCTCGGCAGCTATCTCTCTGCAACTCTCACATGGTTGCCCACTGAAGCTAAGCAGGTCTGAGCCTTTTCAGTACCTTGGATGGGCGACCACATGGGAAAGCTAGGTTGCTGCCAGAAGTGGTGCTAGTGAGGCCAGCAGGGGGCACTCAACCTGGTGCCTGTGTGGGTCCTAATGCCCCAGTGTAGTGAAGAGGACTCTATACTGCTCAGTGAGTACCATCTTTCGGATGAGAGGTTAAACCGAGGTCCTGACTCTGTGGTCATTTAAAATCACAGGATGTCCTTCGAAAAAGAGTAGGGGTTTATCCCTGGCATCCTGGCCAAATTTGCCTCCGTCCATCATGGCCTTCTAACCATCGCTATATCATAATTGGCTTCATCACTTTGGCTTCATCACCTCTCCACCAATCAGCTGGTGTGTGGTGTATGGTCTGGCGCAAAATGGCTCAGATATAGGTTCAGATTCTAATGGCAATCTGTCATTGCTTCCTGGAAAAAACATTCCTCTGTAAAAAGTCATAGTGTTATCTTTGACACTGAGCTTATATTTTTTTGCCAAATAAGGCAGTTGTCAAATTTTTTTTTCTATTTTGAATATATTGCCAAGCTGAAGTCTGTCCTGTCTTTCAGTGATTTGGAGAAGGTTGTTCATGCCTTCATCTCTTCTCGTCTGGATTATTGCAACACAATGTATCTGGGTGTGAGTCAGGCCTCTCTCTCGCGACAGCAGCTGGTCCAGAACTCAGCTGCCAGGCTTTTAACAGGCACAAAAAAACCAGAGCACATCACACCTGTACTGGTTTCCCTACACTGGCTACCAATCCAGTTTAGAATTCAGAACAAACTACTGCTGTATGTTTTTAAATCCCTCCATGGCCTGGCCCCTGACTATATTTTTGAGCTAATTAATATAAACCAACCAGTGGGATCTTTTTGCTCCAAGGATCAACTCTATTTGCAAGTTTCACGATCACGCTTGAAATGTCGAGGTGATAGAGCTTTTTCAATAGCAGCTCTATTACTTTGGAACGATCTTCCACTCTCCATAAGAACTTTTCCAACTTTTGAGTCTTTTCAGAGGTCACTAAAAACATACTTCTATTCTTTGGCTTTTAATCATATGTTGTGAGTTTATGTACAGTGCTTTGGTTCCTTGAATGTTTGCATGTAATATGTGTTTTTATGTACAGCAATTTGGTATCCATTGTTGTTGGTTAAAAGTGCTCTAGAAATAAATTGTGGTCTGGCGCAATATGGCTGCTGTCGCGCCATCCAGGTGGATGAGAAGATTCCCCTCAACCTGTAAAAGCGATTTGAGTGTCCAGAAAAGCGCTACATAAATGTAAGGAATTATTATTAAGATCCTCATTTAGTGCTTAATCTTGGGAAACTATATGGCAATATTTATTGCAGAAAAATAAAACATTGCAATTTCAGATTTTTTCAATATCGTGCAGCCCTAGTCTGTGGTAGTATTTAAATGCATTTTGCTTTTTTAATATGAAAAAAAAAAGATCTTTATGACATGACTTGAAAACACCTTATGATACAAAGTCTGCTATTCAATTGGTATAAAATATTTCGTGCTAATTCAAGACTTGAAATTTCCAATCTCTGCATACATCAGATGAAAATTGATGTGACCTTAATCATTTGCTGAATCATTTCTCATCTCTCAACAGCAATTATCTGGGCTTCAGTTGATAATGTGTGCTTTTATTGTGAAGATTAACAGCTTTTGTTGACGAGTCGCTCATTGCAAAATGTCATGACAGATTGTGATTTTTATTTAGGTTTAATCATTCTGCCGTGCTGTTGTTTTATCCAGAGCATTCAAATACAGTGTATATGTTATGACAAATTGTGATCTGAGTAGCTGCTTTGAAGTCAAACTAACTGCCCGTGTTTCATCAGATCCTGAAGATGCATTCACAAAGTTTAATTGCTCAAAAAGGCCCCATCAGCAACCCTTGTCCGCTTCAATTAGCGGAAAGTGGTGTCGACCCCTTTGTTAGTGGGCAAGGTGTCCGGAGCTTTTGTCTGAGAGCATGGAACCCAGACAGGGACTAGACAGTCAGTGGCTGCAGATTTACACTGCAGATTAGGGCAGTCAAAGCCTGCTCAGCTCTGGGCAGGGCTCAAGTTTGGATAGGGTCCCTGTGTTTATACTGTAAAGGGTTTTCTGTTACTGGTCTGTTGCCATTACTGCTCTTTCACTGCTCTTTAAGCTGATTGTTTCCATTCGTTCTTTCAGAGAGGGTGAGAGAAAGAACTTGTTGAATCAATGGCAGCTTCGTTTCTGGACTGCTGTCTGTGGCTGATTCTTCCTATATGCTGCTTTTACATAACTAAAATTATTGGTCAAAAGTTAGATGTCAATAGTTGATCAAAGACCTCAAGTTTGTTACAACATGATCTCTAGACACAATAATGGAGGAATTAAAATGAAGTTAATTGTAATTGATGCTCTTTTAATTCCCATGTCAATATAAACATTGTCAAAAAAACATCTAGGTAATTTTTTTAAAATGTTATTTTACTTTGTCTTACCATGCATTTTAGTTTGCAGTGTTTTGAATCAGGATTATTATTCTAACTAAAATAGTTAACAAAACAAAATTACAATAAAATGTTTTTTTATTGCTTGTGTATGCTACTTGTATGCCAAAAAGTGAAAACTATAAATAACATTGTATTGTAATCTAATAATTATGGTGCCTTGAGAAAGCTTACATGTTATAAACTGTTATACTACATAAACTTATGACTAATTTCTTTATGCATCTTCTCCTAGACCGTTCAAGCTACAAAAACCAAACTAACTCCAAACCTCCAAACTGATCTGACTGGGGTTGCAATATCTTTTCCAACTGATTTGAATTACAGTTTCTGAAAACTAACCTGGAAAATCTGGAAAAGTATCATTGACAACATTGGACTAAATGTTGTGATCTCATAACTTTGCGTCAGACTGTCATACATACTTAAGGTTGGGCTCATTTAATTTAGACTACCAATCTGCCAATCGCTGATGACTTTCAAGTTACTAGCCACACCCTAGCAACCCTTTACGGTACCCTAGCAACTTTCACACAGACTTCTCTTATAAAAAATGCCATTGACTTTACATTGGACATATTAACAACATACCAATCCATCCAAGCAATATACTAATTTATACTAGAATCATGCTAACAACATACCAATTCATACTAGAAATATATTAATCCATACCAGAAACATACTAACAAACATACTAACATATTAATCATACTAGAAACATTAACAATATA